TTTCGCAAAAGGCAATGCATTGGCTTGGTGAAAGGGGTTTTATATAGAATTTCCTGTCGGATATTCTTAACAGTAGAGTAATCACAGGCTCTGGAAGCTATCTCAATCTACTACATATTAACGAATAATAGAATGTACCGGTCCAGTAATATTGTACGCAAATCGATATTTAGAAACGAATTTTAAAAGGGAAAAAGAATCAGGATTCAGTAAAATGTCACTGTTGATATAACCAATATATGTGTAGTTAGAAATGGATCGTAAATCTTGTAAAATAGACGACATTAATGGCAATCCATATTTGTTTCTATGCTTGATTTCACGAGGGATAAACTTTGCCTCGACAGCTTTTTGTTTAACAACCTCATCTGACGTATAAACAAATGTTATAATGGGATATCCTGAAAACTGAAGCATTTTATTCCAAATAAATGTATTCTCCACTTTCTCAGTCATATTCTACAAGTTATTCATTTCTTTTGGATATCACATCTGCAGTTAGTGCTACTGCCAAACTACAGTTACAATACACTAGTGGGTGGGATCTGAAATCAATTGAAGTCAAACTACTGTTAAGCAAAAAGTGGACAATTACATCTGTACTTTGTTGGTGTTATGTATGGAGAATATGATGAACAAATGGCAAACGGACAGAATTACGAAAAGCAGGAGTACAGGCATACCTTTCATTGTTTCTAAAATATCATATGCTATACTAAAACATTACTATTTATATATTTTGGTTCCTATTTTAAAATATTCTCTCAACAACAAATAACCGCGAAAAACGGTTCAAAGAGTTACATTCATATTAGTTTGATTCAAATGATATTATTGGATTTCCGAAAATACCAATTATTTCTGTATTATCATTATTATCGAATAAAAGGTGTAAAATATACATTGAACTAGGATATACTAACAAGTAGCATTACATATATATATATGTATTATGCATTATTGGGCTGCGTTTGTCTGATACTTGTTAACACCAATACGTAGGAAATAAATACTGAACGATCTCGCTTGACTTATCACGAATGCATCCAAAATAAATTATGTTAAAATAGATAATCTATTCTATGGACGTATCAAATACAAATCAATACAAAGATATATCATCATACAGTGAAATCCACAACAAACCAAACCCATCCATCAAAATGTTTCGCAACCAAACAAACCATTCCATACTCTACTATTCATCACTACTATGAAGACATCTTCTTGCAGAGATTCAGGAAGTGCTTCAGAGGCAACAGCCAGTCCTTGTGCGCCTTCCAGAACTCCAGATTCAGTTTCTTGTACACATCTTCAGCTCCCACAAAGTCGAACGCGTTCAGCTTGTCCTGCAACAAAACGAGCAGTGCCTCGGCCTCCTGCGACACCAGTCCCTTCTTGAACTGCTTCTCCATGCAGGCGATCGCCTCTTCGGCCTTCACCAGAATTCCTTGCTGGGGCTACACATCACGCTCGAATTCGAAGAATACCGCGGTGAGCGGGGCTTCGCGCAGTAGTGCGATGGTATTGCTCAGCGAGCTCATGATTCCCTGCTGCTGCGGCGTGATTCTGGAGATGAGAAGGAAGAAGCAGCGCCTACGCGTACTCCACTTCGGGTTGTGGTTGTGGCTCAGGCTGCGGCTGCGGCATGGCGGGCTGCGGCATGACGGGCTGCGTCGCAGGGACGAACGGCGTCGGCATGAAGGGCTTGGGAGCCGGCACGGTCGCCGCGGGAGTGAAGGGCTTGGGAGCGGGCACGGAGGCATTGAGCGGAGCGGGCATCATCGGCTGCACAGACGGAGCGGGCTGCTTCGCGAACTGGGGAGCCACGGGCTGCTTCGCGAACTGGGGAGCCACGGGCTGCTGAACCACGGGCTGCTGAACCACGGGCTGCTGAATCATTGGCTGCTGAACCACGGGCTGAGCAGGAGCAGCCGCGGGCCGGAAGCCTGGGAGCAAGTCCGGGACGGCGGCTGCCATGGCCTGGAGCAGCGACTGGGCGGACGGAGCGGAGCGGAGACTCTGGAGGAAGTGCGAGGTGATCGAGTTCATGCCCTGCTCCTCCAGCGCCTCGCACAGCACGGCGAGCTTCTCTCCGAAGGCCGCGAGCTTGGCGTCGAGATGGAGGTCCTGCACGGGCACCATGGTGCAGAGAATCAGCAGCACTTCCATCACGGACAAGTGCGAGCGCACGCGGTAATCCTGGCTCGCTCCCAGTCCCAGACGCAGCAGACCGCTCACATCGACCGCGCAGATCGAGCACAGCAAGGCCTCGTCGCGAGCGCCCAGCTGCTCCAGCCGCTCGCCCAGCTGCTGGCAGAGCGTGATGAACTCCTCCTCGCGCGCGTAGGTCAAGATCATCGCGAGGGTCTCGCGCCAGGAAGCGACCGTCGTCGAAGCCACGGCCTCCGTCAAGTCGCCAGACACGATCGTCGCCAGCGACTTGAGCGTCGACGACGCTTGCTCGCGCATGTAGCGGTCCTACGCTTAGAGAGACGTCGCAGAACTACGGTGGTTTGCTGGACCAACTCGCTTCCTCCCCAGGCGGAAAGCACCAAGGCGTCGGCAAATCGGCCATACTTGAAACACACTTCCACAGCACGCGCGAAATCGCCCACGATCACGCTCTGCTTCAGCTCGGACACCCACTCCGCGTTCTCTTCCTCCACCGCGGAGAGAGTCGCTTCCTCTGCTTCCTTTGGCTCCTTTGGTTCCTCCACAGCGGCAGTTTCCGCGAGAGGCGATTCGTTGGCGAGGGGAGACGCGCTCGCGAAGAGATCTTCCGCGGTGATCGCGGGTTTCTCGACGGGCTGCGGAATCTCGACGGGCTGTGCGGGCTGAGCGGGCTGCGCCTCGCTCTCCGAGGGCTGTTCAGTGGGCGGAAGGACGTAGCCGAGATGCTTAATGAGCGTGTTTCGCGCGTCGTCTTCGAACATGCACTACCCATCACGCCAGCCCTTCGCCCTCACCTTCATAAACAGCCACATCTCGTTCTCACGCGGATCCTCGCACACCGCCACCATCCGATCGCAGAATCCCTTCAGATCGCCCTGCGCCATGGCGCTCTCAAACTGGCCGATCTCTTCCTTCACGTCGTTCCCACACACCAGATCGGACACGGAGAGCACCTTTCCATGGAAGCGGTTTTCGCATCCGTTCACCGCCGAATAAACAGCCGACGACACCACCGACTTCTTCATCGACACGCCCTCCACGTTGTGCAGCACGATGCTCCCATCGGAGGCCGCCGTGGCGATCACAGCGGGGTTAAACTGGTTCCACAGCACCTGCGTCTTCCGCGTAGCGCTCGCCGCGCGCGCCACGGTCGTGAAGAAGTCCGCAGCGTCCGTCGGAAGCTCCGGCTTCTCCTCTCCGTTCGTGATGTCGCCGATGACTTCCCGCTTGCTCATGTCCCACAGCAAGAGCTTGTTGTCGCGGCCTGTCGATGCCACAAAGCGAGGATCCTCGGCGTTCCACACCAAGTCCAGCACGCCTTTCGAATGCCCCGCGAGCTCGGCCAGCGGGCAGGAAGTGCTGCTCCGAAGGTCCCACAGCTTCAGCAAGGGAGAAGCGTCCGAATCGATCGCTGCACGTCACACCAAACCCAAGAAAAAACCAGTCAGAAGCTGCAAACCGTCGTGGGGATTCCACGCCACTTGACTCACGCGGTTGGTGTTGTTGTCAAACAGCTCGCACCAGACGGTCTTCTGGCGAATATCCCACACAACCACACGACCCGAAGCAGTGCTCGTGCACACAATGTGGCCGACCTTCGGATTCCAGGAAGCACTAAGCATGAGGCAGTGTCAAAATTAAAGACTGTGTGATTTCGCTATAATTCATATTCGGTCTCGTCAGCATCGACACTTCCGGATGATCGATCGTGGTCAGATCAACAAGGGATACAGAGCCATCCTTGCAGCCAACACAAAGCTGGTTCCACCCGTTATGACAGTTGAAGCAGATACTTTGGACAGAAGAAGCACTGACTTCCACAGAGGCGATCTATAAATCACACGGAACAAGCACACGACAACCTTCTCCAATGTCCAGGTCTTTGATACACTGCAGCAAGGAATCCACAGCTCCACACATCCAGACGGCATTCCAAGGCAAATCAAGCCCTGGGCACCCTCCCGATTAGGAATCGCTGTACAACCCCAGCTTATACAGCTAATTTCAGAAGAAAGCGTCGTCTCAGCAACAAACTGACTCTTTCTAACATCCTCCAGGCTCCAGTCATAGAGTCTTAATGATTTCGCGGTATCCTCCTCCAAAGGAACGTAATCTTTCATGGAGGCAACTGCCATAATACTGACATGCTCCTTGATGGGACACCAAGCGATCGAAGAGAACTGTGATTTCAATTCCTTGATAATCGACATTTTTCATTCAACAAGAAATGAAGCAATTCCAGAAATCGGGCATATTTGTTCATTTGAGTTTTCTGTTCCAAGTTTGGATTGTTTATTGAAGTGGGATCGATTCGAAAATGTTCAACGTGAATTTCAAAATAATGATTTTCAAAAAACAACAACAATATCAGTAATAATAACCTCTCAGCGAAAAACGATTTCAAACCATATGACGTGAATACTTCATGATCATTAATTCTTCTCCCCGACACTGCTTACGCAGTACCATCTACACTCGCACAACCACCCATGTGCAACCTCTCCTTTCAACCCAGTTGCTTTTAAGATTGACGAAACTTCCTCAGGGATGTTCGCACGTTCCAACAGCAAATAAAATACGCCATGCTCGCTCAGAATGGACTACATCACACACACACTTGACTTTATTGTACCTGGACATTTGGCAGAAGAACGTCAATCACTTCCCTTCCTTTCTCTCCTCCTGCATAGGCCGACTCAATCGTACTAGATAGAACACAGACAAACAACAACGGTAGGAAGGTCTCTTCCGAAGAAGTAGGGACATAGGGAGGATTGAATAGCAACACATCCACCTTGTTCTACTTCGTATCACTCGTAATTCAACTACTTGAAGTCTCTGAAGGGTGCATTGAAGCAAATTGGAACGGATTGTATCACCGTAAACAACCTATTCTAAGAACCACTCAACAATACCTACCTTATTTTGATGGTAGGTATCGCGCGTGATTCGACACGCATCCATGTTGATATCTATAGCTAGCGTTGCTGTAGGATGGGATTCGTCTATGTCTCAAAACGAAAAACACTCTTACTCACAATTCTTGTCAGAAAGGTCGAAATAATTCCCGAACCAGGTCCAATTTCAACAATTATGGTGGGATCTAATTGCTTGAGAAAGGAATATTCATTTTCCAGCGCATCGAGAAATAGGAACGAGTCTTGGTCTGGTTCATAGCTTAGAGTAAAGAAATCGTTAATGGAATGTACATGTTCAAGTAATCTTCTGGAGATATGTGATCTAGAGAGGGAGTCGAGAAGAGCGAGGGATCCATAGCTCAGTGTATTTACAGCAGTCAAACAAACAGAAAGATAAAAGAGACGTACTAATACCAAGGATAAGGATCTTCTGCAGGAGCAGGCGCCACGACTTCTTCCAACTCTTCGGGACTCCCCGTTGGAATATACCTAGCCATCACACAGCACGCCAGCCACTACGTAGGGAAGGGTAGTTTGAAAGGACCGACATCGCGCCCATCGGTGATCTTGACATACTCTCCGTCGTTTCCAGGCACACACCCCTTCACATACACCAGATTCCGCTTCGGATCGATCTTGTACACCTACATCGCACCGGCATTCCACGCCTACCAGTAGATTCTGCACGGTGCAGTTCTTATTCCCCATTCGTCCAGGCATTTTCTTTCCCTTGAACGTCTTCCCGGGGTCCTACGCGTCACTCCTCTCCTCCCTCTTCTCGCACCTCTCTCTGTCCAGTCGATCCCAGAGAACGATGCGAAACGCTCACGCCGTGCGACGCGCCGAGGCCTTTGAATCCCCAGCGCCGCATTACGCCCTGGAATCCCTTTCCCTATCGCTTAGAAGAGAGCGCCGCGCTCACTTGCGTGATGCCCTGGATGTTCACGCGCTGCCCAGGAACGAAGTGCTTGCAGGTGAGCTCCGTGCCTAGAGAAGGTCAGCAAAGAACGCACTGTGGACAGCGATATACTTCAGTACTGCTTTGCTGCAGCAGTAGAAACCTGAGTCCTGTCCAGTTTGATCGATTTGGAAGTCAATCATTTGCAAATTGATTTGGGAGTGATAAAGAGGGAGGTGGTTCACAAAAGGGTGGTAGGTTGATGGTTAACCGTCAAAATCACCATGACTACCACCGGAACGCTCCAGCCATAACATCAACTCCCTTCGCAACAATCATTTCACACATTGATTTCGATTACCTACCTACAGGAAGAAACGCGTCTTCCGTGACCTTGAACTCTGTGAGGTATCGCTTTGGCTCAACGCCAACGCTCTTGTAGTGCCCGAACAGTGGCTTGTTTACATTTTTCACTTTTACAGGACCCGCTCCAACTTGAAGACTGTTTGTATTTTCCTTCTCTTTTGTCTTGACTTGTACAACCTGACAATTCTCAATCTACTCCAAAATACAACGGAATAAGCCAAAACCTGGAGAACTGTACAAGGAATTCTTGTACACCATTTATCCCACAGAGGCATCATTCCAATCTTCAGTGCCACTACACCTGTCCGTTTAGACGTTGGACTCATCTCTCCAGCAACCAACTTGGTAGGAACAACCCTACAATTTATGACTTATGTATTAAGAATCACGATGCCGTAGAAAAACGAATCGCAGAGCAATATCGCGGCAAGTTTCGAACACAGCAGCGATACGAGGCAAGCATGATTCAATTTCTTTTCTCTAGTACAAGGTAAGATGTCTGGTAAGTAGAGCCCAAAGAACAAACCTGCTGCTATGGAGAAAATGGCAATCAAAGTTGAATCCAAACCGCGATTATTCCGATCATTTTACATATTTTGATAGAACAAAATATCGTTTTTAAATAATTGGGCGTAGCTGGATGGAGAAGCGTTGTGTGTCGATCGATATTGGAAGGATTTGGGATTCCTTCGTTTTCACTTATCTCGTTCAATTGCTGAATAAAAACTGGAAGTCGATCGGGTTGACAACGGAAATAGAATCGCGCTTGGGAAAGATGACCGATTCTGGATTTGTGCCTGGAGTGAGTCAAAAATTCTTTTTCGACATGCGGAACTATCTATTGTCCAGAGACTACTGGGTGGATCGGAGCGGAAAGAAGCATACTCCAAAAGAAGATGATGAATATGCCATAATCTTCGAACAGAATGTGCGTGTCGTTACTGTGAAGGAGGGAGATGCGTATTCCATCAAAGAAGTAGCGAGGAAAAAGAGGGTGGAACAGGAAACCTTTGTATTCGGAGAAGCTGTGTATAGTCTGCGAATCTCCAATTCAGACGAAATCCCAATCTCCCAAAGCCAAGTCGATGAATATGAAAAGGCAGCGCTCGACTATCTCCAGAGTGGTTCTCTGTCCCGATCCACTCGGATCGTAACAGTTCGTCATCGAAAGCGAACCAGCTTCAACTTTGAGAACAAATATGTAATCGATATGACAGTGACTCAAAGTGGCGACAATCTCCAAGAAGCATTGAATGGAGATTTTACATACGAAGTAGAATGCGAATTGCTGATGCCTCGCGACAACTTTGCCCTGACCGTCTTTACTTATTTGAATGCTATTCTACACCGTTTGCTGACTCAACCCGAACGGATTTGCATGCCACCTCCTACAAGCGTGTTTCACCCAAAGAATGCAGCCCGACTCAAATGGGCATCTCTCTGTCCCGTCGCAGTCAATAGCGATATCGAATTGACCTCATCGAAGGGATACGATGATGCTCTGATTGAGTGGTGCCGACAGCAGAATCCCGAGAACAGAGCGATTCTGCCGATGAAAGTAGCGACGCAGCTCAAATGGTCGGTTGCCTATCCAGAAAAGTACTATACAATACGATGGGAGGCAGTGGATATGGGAAGGCAGCAGAAGGACACTCTCCAAATAATTAATCAGTCCGGAACAATCCACACGGAGGACGGAAAGGTATTTCATTGTTGTGAATGGCAGTATGAGGGCGTCATACCGAACAATCTAGTTGCTTCCATGAAGCGTCAATCTAGCGCACAGTAATAAGTGTTTTTGATTTACTCGTTGTTTGTTTCCAGAAAATCGGACTTTTTTTGTCGGTCGCTTTTTTCTCTTAATTCCTGATTTGATAATACTTCAATAGTCTGAAAGGTATAGAGATGGAATGGGGACGAATCTGGGACGTTCAAATACTAATAGTTTGTAGAAAGCAGGAAATGCAGAGTCAAACAGGCGAAAATTCAATTGTTAATGGAGTAACAAGTGAGGAGAAGCAATTTGACTCTTCCGAATTCGGTTTGTGTTGGGAACAGCCGTTTTGACTTCTAGGTCTTGATAAGCGAATTCTGAAGGCGGTAACTGAGATGGGTTACGTTCATCCGACGTTGGTTCAGGTAGAACTTACGCGAGAAGGTAATGACTAGGAACAATCGATTCCTCTCATTCTGAGTGGGAAGGATGTATTAATTAAGGCTCGCACGGGTTCTGGAAAGACTGTTGCGTACGCAATCCCCACCCTTCAAAAGTTGCTTTCCATTACCAACACAACCGACGGAATCAAAGCTGTCATTTTAGTACCTTCCAAAGAGCTTTGCGTCCAAACCTACGAATGCTTTCGGTCCTTGTCTCGCTACTGTAGTAACGTCATCAATGTCGTCTCTTTGCATTTGAGCAGCGCGGATCAGCAGGTTGAAGCTGCGTTCGTTTCACATAAGTGGTAGAAGGGCTATCTGAACGAATACACGGATGTTGTCATTTCGACTCCCAAGATGCTGTTGAATCATTTAAAACTGTACAGCGATAACATTCTTAAAAACATCCACACTTTCATAGTAGACGAGGCCGATTTGGTAGAGCGATTATGACTCAATCATAATGAATGTAGTTGCTCTCGTATGGGTATAAGGAAGATATGAACAAGGTGGTGGAGCGAATCCCTGCAACTTGCCAGAATATTATTCTGTCGGCTACGCTGAATGAAGAGGTTTCGCTGCTCAAGCAGAAGTTGCTGCATAACTGTGTGACCGTGAAGTTGGAGGAGGAAAACACGAGTGAGAGGAATGGTTTGGAGTGATGAGGTAGACTTGAATGAGTTTTTCATCGAGGTGTCTGAGGAAAAGAAGGCATTGCTGCTCTATGCGCTGCTTCGTTTGCATATTTTGAAAGGAAAAGTGATTATTTTTGTGGACTCGTTGAACTTGTTGCTCTTTTGAAAGGAATAAAGTAACGCATAGTGGATATTTCTTGAGTATTTTCTTGGAGCGATTCTCTATGAAGTCGGTGGTGTTGAATAACGAGTTGCCTGCTTTGTCTCGCAATAACATCATTCATCAGTTCAATCGAGTAGGTTTGGAAGAGAGAGTTTGAGCCCAGGGAATGTACGATTACTTGATCGCCACAGATGAGGGATTGGCGCAGTCCATTCCAGAAAACAGCGAGAAAGAGGAGAATGGTGGAAACAGTGGAACCAATGCGAAGGAAGACGCCGAGCTGTTGGGAGATTCTGAAAACGAGAAGGATGAAGATTCTGAAATTGAGAAGGACGTGGATTCTGAAATTGAGAAGGACGACAGTGACGACTTCGACCTGGAAGATTCTTCTGAGCCCGAGAAGGAAACCGAAGAGACGCAAAACGACGAATATAACGTGAGTCGCGGAATCGATTTCGAGAGTTTCCTCTTTTCTTCTCTTCTTCTTTTCTCTAGACGTGGCCGCAGTCATCAACTATTCGATGCCCGCCTCCGTTTCGCACTACGTTCACCGCATCGGCCGAACGGCGCGAGCTGGAAACCTGGGTACGCGTCTCTTCATCCCTTCCACACGCAGGCACAGCGCTCTCTTTCATCGTGCCAACCTCGGACAAGGACCAACGTATTCTGGCCGAGATCCAGAAGTACAATCCTCCGCGGGATGGGCATCCCGTTCCGCAGCGACTTCCGTTCGACATCTCCCAGATCGAGTCGTTCAGCTATCGGTCGAGGCGGCTTGGTTCGATCTAATGGGTAGAGTGGAGGGCGTGAAGCGAGGTATTACGCCGAACTTGATTCGAAACACGAGAATGATGCAGTTGCGAAAAGAGGCGTTGAATAGTTCAAAGCTGAAGATGCATTTTGAAGACAATCCCCACGAATTAGAGCTGCTGCAGCATGGACTCTCAAAGCAATTGGTTCGTCCGATAGCGTATTTGCGAGATATTCCTGATTATCTGATTCCGGATGCATTGAAACCGAAATCAAATCCGGAGGAAGCGAAGCGCGGGCACGAGGAGGATGAGAAGAATAAGGAATGGAAGCGAAAGCGAGTGGCGGATCCTCTGCATGTTGCGATCAAAGGTCGTAATAATTTGTAGTCCTTTGCAGTTACTGCGGATCTTCTGAATGTCAGTAACTCGATTCATGAGAATAACCGCAATAATAATAATAATAATAATAATAATAAAAACAATAGAAACTGGAAAGAGAAGAAAGGAAATCGATGGGGGAAGAAGAACAACAATTACAATAACAACAACAACAATCATAATAATAAGTGGAGAAGAAGGAAGGGTAGAAGATAGATTCTTGCTTGATGTGTTTATTTGAGAATTGTTCGAGTTTATAAAAAATGAAAGAGAATGGGCATAGATAAATAACGAAATGTTATTGATCATAGAATATGTACCCTATAATAAACAATAAATGCGATCCAAATAGAGGGGAAAGTGGCAAATCATCTGAGAAGAATGTATGCTTCTGAAAATGCCTTAGATGTAGTAAAAAAAACGGAAGACGACTAATTAAACGTTATCAGGTAAAAATAGTAGCCACGCCACTACTATTTGTTTATCAGCGTCAACATCTAATACTGACTATATTTTTAATGAATTAACAAGTGACACTATAATTCTATAACATGAAATCACCTGTATACACCTTAAAGCATCACCTTCCATGATTTCCTCAGTTATTGGAGTTTATTTCCCATTTTGCTGTATTTCCCTGCAATCGTATTTTTCATTATTTCACTAGACGTGACATGTTTGGGAGAGAATAGCACTTGACCTATTTAAGACCATAATGCTGAATATATATTGGACTATATCCATGAGAAAATAAGCAGAAGAATGTTGGGCTGATCTGATTGAGACACATGTAACATTTTACACTCCTTTCTATTTTGGATTATTATAAACATCACCAATAAAGCTAAATATTCAAATGTCGAGCACGAATCTCTTGTGTATAACCTTTTTATTAACTCAAGTTATTAGTTGGTAAAATTGAAAATGAGGCTAAAAGAAACGTACAAGTCTTGTGTTGTTATTTTGACGTGGATAACATATTGCGTATTTTTGTATTAAAATCTGCTCAATATGCATGTTATTATCTCTGAATCACAGATGTATACGTTATTAACAATGTTCTCAATCAATATTTGGGTCATAGAATTATGTGAGAATTGGACCCGAATAATGTTATCGGTTTCTATTTTTTGTAATTTTCAATTTCTATAGAGCTGAATTATGTATAGCATTGTTCCTTTATTCAAATTAGAGCGATTTCAGAAAAGTGTCCATTTGCGCTGTTTTTGTCTGAAAAGCAGAGCATATGAAGAGAGGATTTTATTGCAAATAATAAAAGTTAAAAATAAAGCATACTTATTCTAGGTGCTATATATGATAATGCACTAAATTACAATATTATACAATATTTTTGCTATTTTATGATTATTATAAACTACTCTAATGATTAAGATTGAGTTTCAATTTCTCCATATTTTTTAATTGTGCGTGTTAATGAGATCCTATTTTCTCTGGTTTGCACTATGTAGGTTATAGATGACCTGTATTAGTTTAGTATCGTTTGCGCTCAGTGACCTAACCTGTAATGATGGATTTACATACTTTAAGTTTGTCAAGAACTGCGGTCAGTATGCTAATGAGGAGTCCTTTAAAATTTACAACGGTGATCAACTCCTCTATACAAGTCCTACTTTCGCTACTAATGAGGTCCGTACGATTGAACAATGCCTTAGCTCGTCCACGAACGATCAATACACTCTCCAATTAGCTGATTCGTATGGTGATTCCTGGTCTTCTCTTGCATTCCTTACCATATCTGGTGAATACGGAAACGTGTTCTTTAAAGCTACAATGACAAGTAAACAACTCGATGAGTTGACCTTGTCAATGCACTATGCTATTGCTCAGGGAGCAACTTGGAAGATGACCTCTGGATCGATTACTGATGGCTGGACTGCTTATTCGTTCTCTGATAGCACGTGGGAGGATGCTACACTTGGCTCTGTCACTTCTACTACATCGGGTGCTCAGTACTTCCGCAAGCAGTTCGTGGGTCTTGCTAATATGGCTGCCTACGAAGTGAGACTGAAGTACCGGGCTGGAGTGATCGCCTACATCAATGGAGTTGAAGTCTATCGTGACAATATGCCTGCTGGTCCTGTCACGCCCTCTACTGAAGCTTCTGGAGATTATTCTGTGGTTGACTATCATGGATTCATTCGTCCTGGCTCTGAGGTGAGCGCACAGCAGTCGATTCTGGCCGTTGAGCTGCACTTCGTGACTTCTCAGACGAATGTTGATTTCAATGCCTATGTGGCTATTATGGCGTCCTCTGTTCCGAACGGTAATTGCTTTATCTATGGAGATGGAGCTACTGTTACCTCGACTGCTGGAACGAATCCTCAGCAACTTTTTGATTTCGGCCTCTGGACTTCGTATACCTTGTCTGGAAGTCTACTCCCTGCCACTGCAAGCATAGCCTTTAACGGACCCAAGCCATTCATCAATGGAGTGCGTGTGTACCCCTACTCGTACATCAACGAGGCACCTAGTACTTTCTATGTGCAGGGTTCGTACGATGGTCTGGAATGGAGTAATATCGTGTCCGTGTCAGATGCTACGTATACAAGTTCGGAATTCAAGGTCTTCAATGGTTATTTCTATGCTTCACTCTACGATAACTATCGTGTCAACTTCGTATCCAGTGGTGCAATGAACATGTATACTTACGAGATGCAGCCTCTGGTTTGTGCTATTTCGGTGCCTTCGGAGATTGTGTATACTCCCAATTCTTACACGCTCTGGGCTGTTTACGAGGAAGTGTACATTCGTCCTGACATTACAGAATTCACTAACTGTACTTCTACTACCCTTCCTGAAGGACTTACGCTGGATTCTGTTACCTGCGCTGTTTCTGGAATCGTCACCTCTGCTGTGCCGACCACTACTGTGACCATTACTTCAGTTATGAATGGAAATACTTACACTGGATCGTTTACTATTACCTTCCAGGAATGCTCAGGATCGGTTCTCAATATCCTTCGTACTTACAAGAGCAATGCATATTTCGAGACCTTCGAGATCAAGGATGCGACGACGCAGGAAGTGGCGTTGTCTGTTGCTGCTAGCTCTAGCCAGGTTAACAATGTGGATTGGACCACGATTCTTTGTGCTACTGGTACCAAGTATACTGTGTCTGTTGGATCCTCTCTCTATTACTGGCAGCCCGATTCGTTCCTCTATGTGCGCACTCTTTTGTCGGGTGACCAGATGGAAACGCTTCTGCGACTGAAGCATGATGTCTACATCGGTTTCGCGTCTTCTCGCACCTTCAATGCCCAGTATTCGATTCCTGTCCATTCCAGCTGGTATTACAAGCATGGAGAAGTTCCTACTGATTGGTATTCGTCGACTTCCACTGAAGGATGGACCGAGGGAAACGACACCAACTATCCCGATTCTTCCAACCAGATCCAGCTGTACAAGAAGACGTTCAACGTAGCGGACATCAACAACATTGCTGGATTCGTTCTTTCTCTCAAGTACAAGTATGGATGCATTGTCTATTTGAATGGACACGAAGTCTTCAGAATGGGATTAACGGATGCCACGATCAGCACTTCGAGTTTTTCGGATAACCTGTACTCATCTGTGATCTATCGTCAGGTGTCCCTTCCCATCAAGGCAGTCCAGATTGGCGACAGTCCGGAGGCGAACTACATTCAGCAGGGATCGAATACCATTGCCATTGGACTTGTTGCAGTCAATGAAAACCAGAAGGAAGCGATCTTTGACTGTGCTCTTCGAATGATGGCTGAGGAAAAAGAGTCTCGTGTTTTTGACTACACTGTCAATTACAGTGGTATGTACGGTTCTCCTAATTATGTATTCTCTCATCATTATTCCTACTATACTTACTATTCTTATTGTTATTCTAACTATGTTAGTCTCACATTTGCTAATGATCGACATGAGTGGATCAACTCCGTGACAGTCAAGCTGTACTACTCGCAGAATACTCAGCAGCCTCATCAGTTTGTTCTGAAGGCTCGTAATGGAGTTGATACGTGGACCACGTTAGCCACTGTGACTGGACTTACCTGGTCCCAATCGGGTCAGGCGCAGACTATTTATTTCCCGAACAACAAAGCGTATAATCAGTATCGTTTTGAAAACTTCGCTACTGGCGATACGACGGATTGTGCCTGGAGAATCGGCTCGTTGGATTTGGGTGTGATATTCACAACCATGACAATTCCTGAACTAATGTACACTTCTACGGTTCTTTATAAGGATATTGAGATGGGAGAGCTTTATCCCAACTCGGAGTATTACTATGACTTCGAAATCACTCCTGCTCTGCCAATGGGAATTACCCTTGATCGGAATACTGGTATGATATCTGGAACGGCCACTTCTGATCTACCTTCTACTAGCTATTCTATCACTGCAAAGAAGCTGACTGGAGGTACTTCCACAGCGACTTTCTCTCTGACTGTTGAGATTTGTACGGGAGGCCGTTCCCTCATCACTCTGGTGGTTCGCACTGATAATTATGCTGATGAAGGCTCGTACAAGCTGTATCAGGGTGTCGGCACCAGCGGAACTGTGGTGGCGTCGGTTGATAAATTCAGAGTTGGATCAGGTCTTAATTATGGAGACTTCTGTCTGAACGATGGACTCTACACGATTGAGCTGCTGGATTCTGCGAGTGATGGTTGGGCGAGTCCTAGCGGTTATTATCTGACTGTCGATCTGGGAACCATGATCTTTGAATTGGGTCAAATGCCTAGTGGAGTGGCTTCTGTGAGCACCATGTTCTCGTCCTATCTACCTTACCAGATCGAGTACACGGAATGGAAGGTCAGCTCTGACGTTGTGCAGAACTGGAACGCTATTGATTTTGATGATTCTGCTTGGCGAACAACGAAGGCCAGTGAGATTGGAACAAATGAAAAAGTGACGTTGTACATCCGTAAGGAGGTGAATATTCCTGATATCGAAACTTATCATGCGTTGAATGTTCGCATGAAGTACGCTGGTGGAGTCGCTGCCTATTTCAATGGCCGACTTGTGGCTCGTTTCAATCTGGAGGAGTACTTCGATGAGAACTCGTTGTCTCTGACGCTCCATGATGCCAACACCTTCTCTCGATTCCATGTCCTTATGTCAGTAGTTCAGGCGGTGACTGGAAAGAACATTATGGCATTCGAGGTCCACCAGCCCGTTGGTCAGTCCTCTTCGAATCCTGTAGTATTCGATGCTACGGGTGTGTTTGGAGTGAACGAGTGCTCTGTTCTCGTAGATTCCGTCGTCGAAACATCGACATCGGGTGTGAATGGAGCGGTTGAGTTGGCGATGATCGCACTGGATCCTTCAAATAGCGGATATCTCGATAATGTCGTCGGAAGCTTCTACACATGGACAGTGGAGAATCTGGAGGGATCTCGGTTCAACAGTTTCGCTATGCAAATTCCTTACGGTCGCACTGGACTTGGATTCTCGCTCTACGTCCGAAACGATAATACTGAAGATTATACTTCATCTCTGGAGCAGCTTGATCAGTCCTTGGCTGAGAAATCGCGCAACAGATGGGCGGTGCCTGTGGGTGTTGCTGGATTCAGAGAGCTCCGCTACATGGTAGATGCAGCTGCCTCGGGTACTGTGTATATCAGTTCGTTCGTACTCGAGTACTGCAAGCCTTCTGGAAGTGGTATTTGCCCCGGAATTGATGAGTATCCTGCTGTGGGAGAGGGAGAGATTTCACCTGCGGGCTGTGAAATGTACTACTCTGGGTATTCTTACCGAGTTTGCACGAACGGCCAGCTGGGAGAAATCCAGATGGATAAGTGCAAGCAAAAGTTGCCCAAGAACTTGGCCTACAGCTACTACATGTTCACCTTTGTGGTAGGAACGAACGTGAAGACGGAGCCTCCAACATATGACAACATCATTGAGCGATTCTATCTGGGTGAGGGTCAGGAGCTTCCAGTTGGGTTGACTCTGGATGAGAAGACTGGCGTGATTTCCGGTATTCCCACGGAGGCAAAGATAATGCTTGGATATACAATCTACGGAGAGAACCAGTCTGGAGTCACGTCTATTACGATTAACATCGGTGTGAATATCGGAAAATGCCCTCCTGTTGACAAATTCCCCGAAACTATTGTGGGTGAAACTGCGGTCTATGAGTGCTCGAATGATGGTTCATACATTGGCTCTCTGAAGAAGACTTGTATGCTGGGAGAAAAGGACGGAGAGTGGGCTGCTACGAAGGGATTCTGCATGAAGACATATGTGCTTTACATCATCATAGGTGTCGTTGTTGTCATCTTTGTGATCGTGATCATAATTGTGGTCACGAAGAAGAAGTCGAATGCTACACCTCCAATGAAATCTACTGGTAGCGTCAAGCCTACTACATCGAAGAAGTCGTTATCTAAGAAGAGTAGTGCGAAGACGACCGCTGTCAAGGTATAAGTAGCTAATTGAATAGCGCTGTACATGAAACTAGAGTATTCTTGTTGTTGTTGTTTTGTTAAATCAACGGAGTGAAACGTAAAGTAACGTACCGAAAATGACTCAACTAAGTGAATGATTGCAACAAAGAAAAGCAAGTGCATATGAACTACACCTTCACTTTCTTTTCATTACTCTTGGTCGGCGCTGAAGTTTTCTTGATAGCCTTCTTGCCTCGAACGCCGCCCACAGCTTTCGTTCTTCTTGCCATTCGAAGAACGATAAACACAATAACCACAATAATAATCAAAGCAAAGAGTATCAGAATGACGGTTACAGCAATCGGGAAGCACACTCCGGATGCTTTCTTCCACACTCCATCCTTCTCTCCCAACACGCAATATCGCTGCTGTGTTCCGATGTAACTGCCCTGCAAGGCGCAGTGGAATACAGCCGTCTCGCCGACCTTCGTTGTAGGGAAGAAGCCTTCAGCAATACAATGTCCTTTGCGAATCGTGATCGCAATCGTAATCTGCGTAGCAGCCACGGGATTTTCTCCAGTAATAACGAAGGAGGCCAGTGCAGTTTCAGCCGTAGGCTTTCCATAGATCTTTCCAGTCGTCTCATCCAGTATGAGGCCGACAGGAAGGGGTTTGTCCGAAGTGAACTTGGTGATGAGGTTGTTGTAGGTAGGAGCGGGTATTTCAACATTCGTTCCCATCACCAGTTCAAAGCTCGACTGCTGATAAAGCAAATTGGTAGGTTCCTTGTAGATGCACCTGTCAGTCTTCACCTCTCCCAGTTTACCCTGGCTGCACTGTCTATACTTGTATCCCTTAAAGCCCGGGTCACAGAGAGCCGGCGAAACCTGGCCTTCTCCCACTGTAGGGAACAAGTCATCACCCTGGCAAAGATCGCCATCCGCCTTGCAGTAATAGAAGAGGAAGGAGGACGTTTGCAGCGAGACTGATCCAGAAGTTTCCACGACCCACTTGAAGGAACGGAATGGGATGAAGTTGATGGGAGTCTTGAAGGTTTCGATTTTGCGCATCCCAAGTTCAACGCCATGCTCAGTGGCGAAATTAATGTATTCTTCTCTATCCGTAAGATCATTGTTTCCCATGAGAGAGAAGCCGATGCCAGTGACGCTCACCCACGAGATTAGTCCATAGCTGTTAAAGATGGTACCTTCCAAGTTCTCCACTTTCCACAAAATCTTGCTCTCTGCACTGCTCGAGAAGAGACTGTAGGTAAGTAAGTTGTAGTCGAAGAGATCGGTCAGTTCTTTCCCCGTAGACATCGGAGACGTTCCAGAAAAGTCGGTGTACGTGTCCAGCACCATAGAGCACTGCTCCACACCGAAAATACCTGTAGCATCAAACTGGATAGATCCAACCACATTCGAAGGAGAGTGGATTTCGAAAGCCATTACATTGTTTTCAACCACTGCACCGCTCATAGCCAAAATGACATGGAAAGAAGAGAACACTGTGAAATCATGTGTCGTTATCGCATAGGTAGAACTGTTATACTCATCAGGGAGATTGAAGCGAGCCACCTTCTTTCCATTGAAATATGCAACAACGCCTCCGGCATAAAGAACGCGGACATTGAGGACCTGATAGTCGTCCAGGTTAGGAATATTGAATGTCTTGCGAACATAGGACGTTATGTGTTCGGTCGATCCGAAGTCAGCAGCCTTGGAAGTGGACCAAGTGGAGTCGTCGTAGTCCTTTTGCGTCCATGTCAAATCACTCAGAGTGCTTTTCATCAGTTTCCAGTCAGAAAGATTGATCTGAAAAGGAAGATAGGAAGAAAAAGTGGTTCCTATTTCAGAAGGCTTTGGTGCTGCCGTCACCAACTTGGTTTCGAAAATAGTCGCACCGACGTCGACAGTCATCATATATCCTCCAGGAATAAACCATCCATCTCCAAAATTATCCACTCCGTAAAAAGTGTAAAGGCCATCCTTCAGACAGCGATCAAGGTAGAGGAGAGAATCACGGTAAGGAGCCTCTGACAGGACAGCAATCTGCTTTCCACTCTTTCCACGGCCTTCGAAGAGTTTGTAACCACATTCTTGATTGTAGGTATCGATCCGCATCTTGGCGGTGATGAAGCTCCTTCCTCCAGTGCAGGGAGAAACTCCGAAATTGACTGTAACACTAGTCTGCTCATTGGTATTCACCTTCTTCGCAGAAATAACGTAATTCTTGGCATCGGAGTATTCGGTGGCTGTACCCAGGATGATACCAGAGGCAGGACATAAGCTCAATCCTTCGGGAAGAGAGGGCGAAATTGTGAAATCTCGATACAGGTTTGTATTTGGATACGCCTCAGCTATCTCCACATCCTTGATAGCAACAATAGTGGAATAGCTCAGGGCGGGAATATCCATATGCATGTTGTCACTGTACAAATCAATACGGCTAATCTTCCATGCGCAAGTCTTGCTAATGCCAGATCCAAAGTTCGTAAACTTGTACTGGTTGTAAGACTTGTTGTTCTTCAGCCACAATTTCTTGGTCTGTCCAATGAGAGACCATCCAAGGTTGTTAAATTCATTCAGAAGTACCCAATCCGCATCATCTTGATTCTTTCCATACACATTGAACTGGCGTGTGAACTTGTCATCCTCAAAATAATGCGCCTGAACAAGCACAGAGGAGATCCACTCACGGCGGTCATCGTCAAATGTGATCGTCACAGAATTCCCACTACACACAGACGAATAAATACTCGATCCATAGTAGTGAGAGAAAGGGTCCAAGTAAGATGAGATAGTTCCCGTAGTTGCGACTGTGTACCCGAACACACGACTATATTCGTTGTTTCCCATAAGGCTCAAGGTGGCATCAAAGGTCGAAACCACATTCGTGTCGGCGTTCTGAATGAGAGCGATCGCAATCGTGTTCGATCCCGTTTTGAGATAGGATACAGCCGGCTGCGATTCTAGAGCCATTGTTTTGGTAGGGAAGGACATGGTGTGATATTTCAGAGAAGGATAGATGTTTGAAATCGCAGCAGTCGTGCTGACTTCTGTGATTCCATTCTTGAAGATTTCCACATTGTTAAGGTAGATCGAGATACCATAAGAGTACTGCACAGACACAGTAAAGCCGGCAATGTTATCGAGACTAATAATCGAGAAAGTCTTCTTGTAAAGCTGTACGCGGTTGGTTGAACTGGGGAAGGTTCCCTTCTTTCCTTCTGTCCATCCAGAGGTGTCGGAAGAGTACCAGTTCGAGGGAACTTCTCCCATCTTGTAATACCAGTTCTCCACAGGATGAATCGGGTAATTGATCGACACGAAGAAGGAGCTGCTGAGACCCAGGAGGTTGTCATAACGAGCGCGCAGCAACGTTTCGGTCTGGTCGTGATCCAGCACCGACTGGACATAGAGATAAGAGCCAGAGTACCAGCCACTGGTGGTAGCCGACACATCGATTCCGATACGAGGGATACTGATGCAGAGACTGTGAACAACATTTTTGTAATGCTCCTGCCCGCTACTCGTTGCTACGCTGTACAATACCTCTTCGGTATCAGGATTAATCACATTGAATGCCTCTTCCGTGGCCGAGGCCTTGTACGTTCGCAAAATGTTCACAACAGTCCCGCTGCACTCCTGAACGGTCAGCGAGATTGTTCCGGTCATTGAAGGCGTGGTAGATGTTACAGTATACGTTTTCTGAGCAGCAGCCACGGTCGGTCTTCCGCTAATGATGCACGTTTCGGAGTCAATGGTCATTCCCGCAGGCAAAGTGGGCTGAATTGAGCATCCAGTAATCCCTGCATGCTTGGGAATCATTTTAGACTCCTCCAGATTTGCATAGTAAGTGTGCGAGGGTTCTTCGTATTCAATCGTAGTAGGAACGTTTTTGGGCACACACACCATGGGCATGACCTCATGCAGCTTGACAACACTGTCCGTTCCAGAGACAACAGTCAGCTTGTAGTGCTTGAAAAGAACTGTATTCCAGTAACTGAAGATGTGGTAATACTTTGCAGCAACAAAATTCCCAGAGACAGCCATGAGAAGTGAATAATTCGATCCTTCTTTACTTCCAGAAAAAGTAGCATACTTAATGTTCTGAGAGATGCTAAACGTGTAATAGCGCAGACCATTGATGAATGGGATAACATTCGAGTCCATGGCATACATAATTATCCATGAGTTGTTAATGTCCTGAGCAAGAGTGTACGAATTCTTATCCATATCAAAGACCTTATTAATGTCATTGGAAGAGGGTTGGGAAGTGATTGTTACTGCATAAGGATATATAACGCAAGACTCGTCTTCAATTGAGGACGATAATATAGCCATAAAAGCATCAAAATCGACGCCTGACGGAGATGCCGAAGATGTAAAGTGGAGTTCAACAGCGAGAACAGTATTGCCACTCACTTCGGATCCAGGACGAATAAAACCATGCATCGATGCTTCAACGTAACTAGCCGAAGCCGATGTGTCATGGCTCACTGGCCCCTCTTGCATGTTATCACGGAAAACCTCAGCACCATTAATGTAAGCAACTACACCATATCGATAGTTCATGCGAACTTCATAAGCAGCCCGATCAGCAACTCCAGTAAACGACTTGCGGAAGTATTGAGTAGCCGTATAAGAATGAGTTACAGATCCCAAGGTCTCCTCGTTCCATGCAGAGTCTTGAAACGAGGGTTGCATCCAGTTGTTCGAAAACTGATCGGTAACTCTCCACTTTTCATAACGCTTAATAGCGTAATGAATCGACAGAGGGAACTCCTGCCTTCTTCGTTCGGTAAGGTAGTTAAAGTAAAAGACATTTCCATATTCTCCGTAAATAACCAAGTAAGAACCTTCCGTCCAAGAGTCTCCCTGTGTGTCTGCAATGGTGAGCGTGTACATCCCATTGGGTGAAGAGTCGATACACTGCTCCGTATCAGAATCAACGTTGTTGACATACACAGGACATTCATAAACGGCTTGATTCCCGATAGAAAGCGATACCTTCTGCTCGTTGCACCAGTTTTTGCACTTCATCAAGAATCGAACATAGGTTTTTCCACTAGAGCACGTCAGCTCGGTGACCGCAGCGCAAATAAAGAGAATTAGAAGCACTACCTTATTCATCAAATCACGTTAAGCTTTATATTAATAATTAATATTATGCTGTTGTTCTTGTTCCAAGTGAAGATGTCCCAATTTCATAACTGCCAATATGGCTGGTTATTATTCGAAGTTCACTTTTTTCATTTCCTGCTGTATTTGGCACTATTACATATCCTATACTCTGAGATTTACATAACTCAAGTGGAATTCAAATTGAAAAGGAATTGTGTGAGAAAAGAGGTCTCAAGTACTTCAAGGTGTTAAGAGGCCTAATGGAACACATACTGAACATGAGAGTTGTTGTACCGCCACTTTTTGGGACCGGTTCGTACCATATACACAAATACCGTTAGGAAATAGCGACTATTTATTGGTTTCCGTTCAATGAAACCGTCATTTGATTGGCCCCGAAAGGAATGGTAATACTTGGTCTTATTGACTTCGAAGTTTATGCAAGACAGTGCATTTTGGAGAAGGTACTTTATGTATTTTAGCAGGAATAGGTAATCACTCGTATGGTACTGCAAATATAGGAACGGAGCTAGAATAGTGCATACATTATGGAGAATGGTGTGGTGTTGACAGAATAAGCTATCCATAGAGTTTGAACATGACATGACAGGAAGTCTGTTTTTGAATTATTGATGAAACACAAAAGGAATTCGTAGAAGTGTATAGCAAAAGAAGCCATTTCTATTTTCAGAGTTTTTTGATATTATTACTATTGTGTCAATGAAAACCACCAAAGAGAAAGTAGTTTTAAAAAATACTCAGAATAATCGTTTTACTATGCCTATTCAATAGTTTGATGTGGAGAATATGGTCACCGATCTCATGATTTACCCAAACAAACGTATAACATAGATACTGTGTTTTGCAGCTCCTCTATATCACACAACCGCTACCGTTCCACAGAATAGTGCCAAGTGTATGGGTATATAGAGTGAATGATATAATACTATTTTAAAATACAAGCATTCTGGTTACCCCCCTACATGATAATGATTGACGGCCAATCGTTTGGATTCTCCACTATTTCATTGACGATTCAAGCTATGTCTTCGGTATTTTGCTCGCTTATTGCCCTCATATCCAGACTAAGGCTAAGGACTCTGCTAAATCTATGAACCCCATCTTTGCTGCTACTCCCAAGAACTTCCGCATTGGAGGAGATGTTCTGGTACGATAGCGCTGTGTTCGGCCTAATTTCATAGCCTAAGAAGGATCTCTCCCGATTCCTGAAGTGGCCCCGTTACGTGATCATCCAGAGACAGCGTAAGATTCTGAGCCAGCGTCTGAAGGTTCCTCCCACCGTGAACCAGTTCAGCCATGTGTTGGACAAGAACCAGGCTGCTGAGGTGTTCCGTCTGATGAACAAGTACGCTCCTGAGACGGAGGCCGAGAAGAAGGCTCGTCTGGAGGCTGCTGCCAAGGCGAAGGCTGAGGGCAAGCCCGTGGAGGAGAAGCGTGCTCTGGTTGTGAAGTACGGTCTGGACAACGTGACGAAGCTGGTGGAGCGCAAGAAGGCCAAGCTGGTTCTGATTGCCAACGACGTGGATCCCCTGGAGCTGGTGATGTGGCTGCCCGCTCTGTGCCACAAGATGGGCGTTGCGTACGCGATCGTGAGCGGCAAGGGCCGTCTGGGCGCTCTGGTGCACCAGAAGACCGCTACTTGCGTGTGTCTGACGGGAGTGAACCCTGAGGACGAGGCGGCGCTGAACTCGCTGCAGGAGAGCTTCACCACCAAGTACGCCGAGAACAAGAAGTGGGGTGGCGGTATCATGGGACTGAAGACTCAGCGCAAGCTGAGCATTCGTGCCGCTGCCATCGCTGCTGAGAAGGCCAAGAGAGCTTCTCTCTAAGCTGATTGTGAGGCTACATGAAGAAAGAAAGGAAGGAAGGGTGGAATCGTCATGGGTGGAGTGTTTGTTCGAAACAAGGAAGGCACAGATACAAGTACAGGGTGGTAAAAATCGGTGGGTTTAGTCGAGCTGCATGGAATCCAGAAGAGAGGCGAGGTCGTCCACTTCCTTGTCCACATCCACGGGGTCGAAGCGATACACCGTGCAGCGAACGCGCGAGGTCATGGACTGGTCCACCTTCACGCGCAACGTCATGATATACTCTTTGAACAGCCGGTTCTTGAAGACCTTCTCGTACTCCTCGCTGTTCGATTTCTCCAACTCGTTCATCCGGCCTGCCGGGATCTCAAAGAACCGCTCGCCCTCGTCATTGAACAGCTGCACATACTGCGACCCCGAATAGTCCATCACCTCCATGTTAAAGATATACCGGTACTCCGGCGCCTCCACCACTCTACCCATCACCTCTCCCTTTCTTCTTTTCTACCGATTGCACGACTCGCACGACCATCCGTCCACGCCCTGAATCAGCTTCTTCTGGCACTTTCTCCCGTCCTCCTTCACGCTACGCCCTCACGCCCCTCCTTCGTCCCTACTTCGGACACGCCGGATACACCACCGATCGATCGTGCGGAATCGACCGCACCATCACCTTCACGGTCAGATAGTCCGGCTTCTCCTTGAAGCCCAGCTGCTCGTCCTGCCCTTCACGCTCTTACCCATCGCCTACCTGGATCGCAGACAGCGTCTTGCGGCGCGCCATCGACGACTGCGTAGACACGTGGCTCAGACTCGTCACGTTCGAGGAGCCGTTGCTCATATACCATTGGTGGAGCTGGTTGGCCTCTGCGAGAGGAGGATTGAGCGAGATGGTCGTGGAGTCGAATCCGCTGAGCGAGTGCCCGCCGAAGTCGCTCACGATGGCCGCCTTGATGGCGATCACGGGATGGGATTGGAGCACGTCGTCGGTGATCAGCGCGTTGTTTCCGAACACCGTGAAGCGGATTGACTGATGGTCAGATGCGGAGCAAAGAGCATTACAGTGTTGCTGGAGTCCACGATCACCAATTCTTTCCGATTCATTTCGTTGCCTTTGCGAGACCGGAAGAGCGTCGTCGGCTGATACGACTGCAAATCACCGCCCAAGCGCAAGCCAAACCTCGACGATCGCGAGAATATCCACGTTGCTGTGCGGCTCCATCGTTTCGATCTTGCTAATCGGAACGAAGTTGTAGTTCTGGGTCTGAATCGCGTTGTCGTCCTGCGAAATACAAACCGCAGCTAGAAATCAGCGCCGCGTTCCGATCCCCACACGACCGAATGCACTGCAGCTCGTATTCGTTGTTCAACGTGTTGAACTGCTTCCGCGCGAACCCGATTTTGAAGTTGCAGAAGTCGTACACTTTCCCGACCTCCAGATAATTGTAGAACGTGTCCACCATCTCCGTGAAGAACGTCACGCGAATCTCGCCCGAGTCTTTGTCCTACCTCTCACCCACCCAGCGAATCCGAACCAGAAGATCCACGCTGAAGAGCTTGCCTTCGCCGCGCGCGTTGTTGAACGTGCGGATCGACGATTTGTTCGTCACACGGCACTACAGTCGAGAGATCTCCGCACTGCTACGCGAATAAACCAGCCGTTCGTGAGATAGGGATGGATCGCGGAGATCGGGATCTGGTTGCAGTGCGCGTAGTCGATGAAGTACGCGTTGGGATTGGGAGCAGCGCCCATGGACGACGGATGGGGAGCCAGGGGCTTGGGAGGCTGTTGATGCTGGGGTTGTGGTTGATAGTTTTGAATGGAGGGTTGCTGTGGATGATAAGAGGGCTGTTGTTGTTGCTGTGGTTGTTGTTGTGGTTGCTGATAAGAGGGTTGTTGGTAGGAAGACTGCTGATAGGAGGGCTGATTGGGCTGCTGATAAGAAGGTTGCTGGTAGGCAGGTTGCTGATTAGGCTGCTGATAGGAGGGCTGTTGATAGCTTGGAGGGGGTTGCTGATTCGCAGCGGATGGAGTAGCCTGCTTTTGACTAGTTCTTACCAATTCATCATCTCTTACGGCATATTTGACAAAACAGGATTGCCGATTTGGTGATCCATCAAACGGATAGGCTCCACACTTAGCAATAAAACCGCTCTACTCCATAATCAAACGATCCAATCCAAACTGGGCCTTCACGATCTTTAGCTGTTTAATTCGGATAATAGAATACAGAGCGATCTGGCCTTGCTCAATAAGCTACAAATCAGCTACTCACACAGATTCAAACAGGTTCGACAGAATTTCCGGTCAATCCTCGAGCAGAATTCGTACCATCAGAAAAAACAACCCTATCGTTTGCCCGCAAAACTGACAACGTACATGTGTCTCTTCGTTGCACTCGCTCCAGAGTTCATTTGGCGAAGACCAATAACCTACAGTTCAAAACACCTCGAACCCAAACTTGCACAACGGCATCCGTTAGCGAGGCCTCGCTGATTGTCTGTCCAATACAATTGGGTGTTAATTCAGCCATTACAAGAAAAGAATGAGTTGGCGGGATTTTGGAATAATGAAACTCCCACTAACAATCACCCGCCAAAACTTAAAATCTCGAACAAACAAGGAATAAACTCATTACGATAAACAGCAGTATTAAACCTAATTGCCAAGACAAAAAAACGACAAAAGCGAGGGACACGGTAAATCATCCCATATCACTTTCGGATCATACCCATAAATTGTTATTTGAAACGACCGTCTTCCGTATCGGTATTTTAGCACCCGGATAGGAATCACGGACACCAGCAAATTCTGCCATCGGATCACTCCATTCGCCTCTTCTGCCCACCGGTCGGCTTCCCGAATGGCCTCTTCGATCGCCCGATCCATCACCACATTATGCGACACTTCGCCAGGCAGAAAATGCTCCCCGCTCGCTCTACGCATGAGCCTGCTCCTCCAGCCCCGACAAATAAACAAGCTTCTGACTCTCCTCCACAAAGCAGGACAAGTCGAGATCGCTTCGATTCACGTATTTCTCGAAATAGTGCGGAATGAACTCGGAGCGAAGATCGCACTTGCAGATCGCTGGGTCTTCGTCAAGCGATGGACAACCAACGGGACGGTCCGAAATATGAGTATCAACTAATTCGTGGGTAAAAGAAGTGGGAATTGGGACATGTACTTTCCATGGATTAAATTCGTCTTCATAGGCAGTTTCCTAGACATGAGAAACAGAAATAATGGCGAACCGAATAAGAATCTGATGTCGAAATTGAACGTTTTTCAAGATAGGTGTCTAATTCGACATGATAACAGTATGAGACATTTTCCTAAATCTGACTGCGGCACTTTGTGCATACACTAAGAATCTGTATACTGTCCAGTGTTGAACGTCGACAACAAAAGCGACTATTCAACAATTGAAGAAGTAGGTCGACAGCAACATCATGAGATATCACCGGAAAATCAACCTCCGATATGGGTAATTTCTGCCCGGGAAACAAAGCTGCAGCTTTGACTGCATCTAGCTGAACATAGTCATTGGAAGGTGTTGGGGATACGGATACGATCTACTGATCATCTCTCGTCCTAAAAGAGAATACTTCGCTACGGGCATGATCATCATGATATATGTCCATTTCACTGTTCGTGACTGAAGATAGTTTTACGTCGGATTCACTGTATAACAGGAACTCAAAGATGGAAGAATCTAGCCGAACAGGCTCTTTTGTAGTCTAGACTAACAAGGTATACGCAGCACCTACATGCTTGTTAAATTTGGTATAAAACATCTTTAAAAACGCTAAACTGATGAAGGAAAAAAGAAAAGTGAGGGAGGAACTGCAACAAGAAACTCCTCAAATGGATGGTTTAACGAACTTCAATTCGATAATCAAACAATTGATATTGTTATAATTGCACGCTTGGCTACAGAGGGAAATCAGTGGAGTCACTCCCATCCCAGAAACCATCCAGTTCATTTCCAACAAACAATCATGAAAAAGAACGGTTTAAAAAACATGCTAAAACAAATCTACTCCTTCTTTTCATTCCTTCCCCCTTTCTTTCCATTCAAAAACTCGCGTTTCTTTCCCTCAAAGCCCGGTCGGTTTTTCTTCTTCTCCGCCTGTTTTCTCTGCGCCCACTCCTCCTGGCTCTTCTTCTTCTTCGCCTCCTGTCTCTTTATCGTCTACTCTCAACTCTCCCCCGAAAAACTACCTTCTTCAGCAATGCCGGATTATCCTTCTTTCGCACTCCCTCCGCACGACTCATCGCGCTGTTCCACTCCAGATTCTCTGCCTCTTTCTACCATTCAACCGTTCACCCGTGCGAACCTGTCCCTCCTTCGTCTCTTTCAGCTTCTTCAGATACTCCTGATTCTTCTGCGCTTGGCGCAGCAGCTTGTGGATGTCCTTGCGAGCCTTCGGACGCAGACTTGTGTCCACTTCCTCCGTTCCCTTCAGCTTGCCGAACTGAATGCTACCATCGAAGTTGATGAGCAGGCTTACTTTGTGATCACATCGTTTACGGAGGGGGTCACACTGCTGACAGACTCGGTGTCTGTGTCGGAAATCGGAGTGGACTTGGACTTGGACTTGGGCTCCTCCACTTTGGCTCGCTTCTCTGGAACAGATTCCTTCTTGGGGTTCTCTCGCTTCTGTTGGGTGCGTTTCTTCTTTGAGGCCTCTTCCGCAATGCGGTTCTTTCGCAACACCTCGATTTTCTCACGCAAACGATCACGGAGCTCATCCAGCGATTTGGCTCCTAGAGATCAGCTGGATACAAAGCGACATACGGTTGGCCGCAGGAACAGGAACAGCCAAACTAACCGCCTCATCAACCTCCTTCTCGAGCTGCTTTTTACGCTCAATGATTTGTTCAGCCATGGGTTTATTATTTTCGGGATCGAATCGCTCCTTTCGCTTCTTCTGGGCACTTTCCTTTAATTCCGCTTTTCTTTGATCATTATTATTCTTCTATTCAATCAACAAATTCCAAGTATAGAAACCTTGAATCCTTTTTTCCATTTCTGGTTCTCCTCCTCAGTTGGCGCTAGGTACAGAGAAGCTGGAATGCGTTCCAGTACTTCGTCAAAAAATAACGCGTGCCCGTGAATTATCGATACTTCCTCAGCCATCGTCTTCCCAATTGTCGTATTTCATAAATTGGAATACAACCGCGGTTTTTTCGAAAATGAGAAAGAATCATTATAGCTTTTTGCAAATGAGATCGAGGACGATTACTATAAAGATTGTGGCACAGGAAATGCGAAATCACAAAAATTAGAATTTGATCCTTACCTAGGGCTGATAAGTGGCTATTTGAAAATAGAGTGGAAACAGTGATATATGTAACAAACAAGACTGAACGATTCACACTTTGAACTACCCACCGTGTAATGTGGATAAGAATAAAATATCATCTCCCTCCTAAAATTATAAAAAATTGACTAAAAGCACAATACATTCAACTCTGTTTTTTCACGATCAAGAACCTCCCAGTCTACGTCATTTACCAATACTAAAATACCAGAGCGTCTAAATAACAGAAACAAAATGCCTCTACAAGTTCGTGCCTTCGACAAAGAGTTCCTCTCTTTCAGATAACTCTTTTTCTTTCAAGTATACAATCAGTTCCTCGATTGTTTTCAAAGAAACGTCTAAGTCGAGTTTCTGCCGTCCTCCAAAGAGAACATCCATCCCTCCTCTATATGTCAATCATATCGGTTGCGATACCCAAATTCGACTGATATCTTCATGCGTCAGAATGAGAAAATTATGTGATCCACACTAGCACTTCGCACTAGCATATCAAACAAACAAACTAATTTACTAATTAACTAACCAACTAAATAGGAATAAGATGTTGGGCAGGTCTCCATATCTGCATCACTCGATCTTCGGCGATTGTCGATAGTGTCCACACATCCTTCAAATCATCCATTCACCACGCCCCTACGTTCGGATTCCAAGCGATTTCCGAGATCGGTGCAGTATGTCCGCCATGCACAAACACCAGCTCTTCCGAAGGCTGCGATCCCACCCGATTTAAGTCCCAGATGCACACCTTCTCATCTTCTCCCCCGCTCGCCAGCACGCCCGCATTAAACGGACTCCACTCCAGACATCGCACCGCTGCGCTGTGTCCGAACAGAGAGTGCAGCGGACGCGTCGTATTCCGCGAATCCCACAACGCGACCGTGGCATCGGCCGATGCGGTCGCGAAGAGAAACCGCTCGATGGGATTGAAGGCGATGCGATGAACGGCTCGCTTGTGCGCCTGCAGCTGGAGCCGCGCTCCGGGCTTCCGGCGATCGTAGAAGAAGACATAGGAGTTGGCTCCGCAGGCGGCGAGCTCGTTGCTGTCGAAGGGGTGCCATTGCACATCGTGGAGCAGGCCTTTTTGCTCGGTGTAGTCGAGAAGCGGAGAGGCAGAAGGCGAGTCGTTCAGTTCGAACACGCACACGTGGCCTTCGCAGCATGCTGCCAGACTGGCTCGCTCCGAAAAGCACCAAGACACGCTGGACACGGGGGAAACCCTCGATACACTGGATGCACTGGATACATTGGACCCATTGGACCCATTGGACCCATTGGACCCATTGGACCCATTGGACCCATTGGACCCATTGAACCCATTGGACCCATTAGAACCATTAGAACCATTAGAACCATTAGAAATGGAAGAATTTTGGAGTGCGAATGTGTGTTGGGGGTGTGCGGTGTGGTCAAAGGGGGACTTCTCATGCTCGCGCAGGTTGTAGACTAAAACAGAACCAAAGGAACTCGTGGCTGCGATGATACTATCGTCTTGAGGAAGAAACCGGATCTTTGATCCCTGCGAATCGTGAACGATGCGCTGGTCGGTTACAAAGCGACCGTTTATTCCTTTTACTGGATCTTTACCTCGAGCTCATAGACATCCGAATAAAAAATACTTAGTCCATTTTCTTTGAAACGCTTGATGTTCATCTCCAACTCAGGATCAGGATATTGCATGGATATGACGGATATCGATGCTTCATCCAATTCCTCGTTGTAGGAAGACATTATAAAACGCTGAATGGAATACCGATTCCGAGACGCTCTATCCTTACACCTCTAAAACAAGAATACTCTGCCCCTTCTTTCCACTGCATAGAATAGAGAAAATCACCTGAAGAGTACATGTGTAGATAGTCATATCTATATTTAAACACCCCGCTCATTTGCTACAAAAGAGGAGATTTACTTATCCATTCAGCGTAGTTGGTTTTGTGAGTGTCTTCTTCCATCCTATTGATTGCTCCTTTGTCTATAGAGTCGCTAGCAAATCCGTTCTGTACAGATACAATCAATGGAAACTGTAAGTTTGGCGAAATAGACGAATCTGGAATTCCGATTTTCGCGGGTCTTTTGGTTTGGGCAAAAGTCAGACAATTCGTTGGTCAGTTCAATTCGGAAATGAAGTTGGACGAGCTACGTACGACAAACCTTGCAGATGATGAAACTACACGTTTCATTCGAAACGCCTTGGAGAGAAAGCTGGAAGTATGGTTTACATGCATCAATAGTCAACTCTAGGGAGATGTTGACGCGTACGAAGTGATCAAGACGTTATTTGCTAATCCCACCGATGTGAACATTACCATTGTGATGATTAACAGCATCGGACACTGTCTCTACCTGATTAGCAACCATTCGCACGAATTGTTCGATCTCATTGATACCATTCTTAAGATCCCGTTTAATGGAAACGACAAGCTAGCTATTGCCTTGTGTGATTTGTGCAAGTCGTTGGTCACTGTTGGTTCAAGTTGGACTCGACTCATTTACGGTATGCTGTTTCGTGAAATGATGCATTTGGCGGTTCCCGACGAGCCTACGAAATCGAAGGAGCAAATCGGTAGGTCCATGTGTGTTTTCTAACTGGAAAGACAGCGCCATGCGCGAGTTATTGCTCAACATCATTCACAACACGGTGAAGGAAATCATCAAAATATCGCCAACGAGCAGCGATCTCATTTTCCGCAGCTTCTCCATCAATCTCCCCTTCATCACAGAAGAAACCTACTTGCACAAACATGCCTTCAAAAATCTTCTTCGTCTCTTCGGCTACGCTCCATCCCTCCGAGAACGCGGCTTCCTCATCATCGTGGAGTGGCTCATCAACGTGGACGTCGAGATCCAAGTGGACGACGTGGACGACAAATCCGACGCGAAGTCAAAGCAGGTTTTTTCTCCTCGATCGAGTGACAGACAGAACTCGCTGTCCTACAAAATGGACGAGATCATGATGATCCTTTTCGAATACCTCAAAGAGCAAATGGAATCCATCGAGAACCGAAAGGTGCTTTTCCGAATCCTCCAAAAAGCCTTCGAGAAGTTCATCATGCTCACGCACCGCAGCAAATACACGCAGTTCCTCATCTTCTACGTGTGCTCCTACGACCCCTCCTTCGTCGAGCGCTTCGTCGGCCGCCTGGTGGACTGGTACTGCTCGGAAGAATCGCCCGTCCTCACGCGCCAAACCTGCTGCGTCTACTGCGCCTCGTTTATCTGCCGAGCCAACTTCATCAGCATCGATATCATCCGCAGCGTTCTGTATTTCTCCCTCACATGGATCAACAAATACATCGACATGTATTCGGCTCGATCCTCCCTCTTTGGTAGGTACGACGTGCAAGAAAACCCGCTCAATCCGGGCGACACTGGCCATCTCGTGTTCTACTCGGTGATGCAGGCGGTCTGCTACATCCTCTGCTTCACCAGCAAGCGCTTCGAGCAGGAAAAGAACGGCGTGCAGTTTCTGCGCAGCTGGGACTGGACGCGAATCCTCAACAGTCCGCTCGATCCGCTCCGCGTTGGCTCTGTCGAGTCGCCTGACCGCTAGTACTGCATTCGGTCGATCGCCGATGAGTTCATTCGCGCCTGCAGACGCCTCGCGCTCCTCAACATCGACGCCATCAACAGCAACTACGTCCATCGACTCATCAACTCGCAGATGCGCGCTGAGAGCGACAACTGTTTCTCTTCTTTTTTCTCTTTGATTCTAGTCGAAATCCCCAGAACGGACATCGGAAGTGGGTACAACCCGCTCGATTCGTTCTTCCCGTTCGATCCCTATCTCCTGCGCGAGAGCTCCAAATTCATCGCGCCGCTCTACGTCAATTGGTCCGATGTCGTTGATGGTATCTCCGTTTCCACGATTCGAATTAGACCTTTATGATGATTTGAGTTCGGAGAGCGAAGAAGAAGAGGAAGAGGAAGTGGAAGTGGAAGTGGAAGAAGAAGAAGAAGAGGAAGATAGTTTCGAACCATCTTCGCTCAGCATGTCGATCGATTCGCACTTGTCGCTGAATTCGTCGCCGATCAATGATGTTCCTGAGCGAGGTAATGAGGAGACGCCGAGGGAGAGGAAATTGTCGGTCTCGCTGTTCTATGAGGAGGAAGATGCGCATGCTTTCGAGAGCAACCCACTGTCCTATCCAGATAACGTGGAAGACGAAGATAAAGATTTCCAGAAGCTTAGTTTCACGAGGACTCGAAAGATGAGTGATGCGGGTGGATGGTAAAGGAGGGATCGGAATACGGACTGAAGGTTAAACAAATCATTTAAGGTTCATTTATGTTTCCTAATATGTGGTACTAAATTCTTCATAGATTGCAATAAAATGTGTTTGTTGGGATCCCTCATTTTCCAAATCGTGCTTCGAATTCCTGTGAAAGAGCCAAAATGGATATAGAAAAACAGATTTTGAAGAATACTTGTCTAAAAAAACTACTCGAGTTTTATTGCTTCAAAAGAAACCCGGTAATGGTGAAAAGTGAGTAGTTGGAGCAAATCCTTCTTTCTAGGTATTCTGGATCGATATCACAGTATTGGGCAAACATTACCTGAGGATTGTGCCGAGTACAAGCGCTATCTCATGTTTTCCGCCTATCAAGCTGTTGTATTACCGAGAAAGTGTTAATTATAGGTGGTCGATATCATGGGTGACACCAAAATTAGCGTGGCTCTAGACGCGTTTTTGAAAATAGTAGTGGTTGAAAAGGAGTTTAAAATAGAAATATATTGTTGACGATGACGTGGTTTATCATAAGAATGACATGTTGTTTCGATTGCTTCTTGGAGTTGCTATTCTTGTAAAATATTGATGTGTAGTATGCAATGATTATGAAAAAGTGTGATCCTGCGCCTACTAAAGCATATATTAGTCTCCTACAAACTGGTATCATGTCAAGCAGCGTATTCCAGCTTAGAAATCGACGAGGAGCCTTACAGTCACTCTCTCGATGCGATGATGGATTGCTTCACGCTAGAGGGAGAGTATATTCCAGAAAAGGTTCAATCGCTCTCCAAATCATTCAATTCTTCCGAAATCATCAGCATGCTCACCACATTCATAACTCGGTATGAAACCGACATCTTCGGTATTCCCTCCCTCCAAGTCTCTTCCTCTCCTTCTCTCTCTATCCCAGGACAAATCCAAATCCCGCTCCAAATTCAGATTCGATTCGGAATCGGAATCGGAATCGGAATCTGAATCCGAGCCCGAATCTGAATCTGAATCTGAAACGGAATCCGAGCCCGACCGTCCCTATTCCTCAGAAGACACCGAATCGAGCGAATCGTCCTCTCCGCTCATCTACTCGCACGTGAAAAGAATGAACGAACCGCACGACAGCGCCGAGGAGGTGAGCGTCTTCCTTCTTTGTTCAGTGAAAGGAATCGGCCATGTCGTGGAGCACGACGTCCTCCAGCCCTGAGAACGCTGTTTGCCTTGCGGATTGAGTGTCATCTAGCGCGCCGACCCTCCGTCGCTCCGCAACACGCGCGACCGCGTCACGGAAGCGCTCCACGGCATGTTGGTTCGCTCTCCTCGCTGCCATCTAGAAAGAAAGCGTCGGTCCTGCCTCCCCCCGTGCAGCTGCGCATCGCGGCGCAGTCCAGCCGGAAGCGACGACGCTGGACGCAGGAGGAAGACGAGCTGCTGCGCGAGGGCGTGGAGAAGTGGGGCGAGGGGCGGTGGACGCTGATCCGGACGCGGATGGGGATCGCGAGCCGCTCGCCGACGGACCTGAAGGATCGCTGGCGCAACCTCAAGCGCGATTGCTGGGTTTGTTCACAAACACTCGCATTATCGAACTAATTTCACAATAAGCATGCCGACCGCCACGATGATAAAAATCAGCACCATATCCATGCAGAACTTATCGCCGCCTCGCGTCTTCTCCAGCGTCTCGTGCATTTTCTTCTGCACTTTCTCCATGTGTTCGTTCGTTTTGTCCACCGTCGTCTCCAGCTCGTCCAGCATCTTGTTCTGCTTCGCGATTTCGTCGTTCATGCCCTGCGCCATGCCGTGCAGATCGTCGATTCCCGCGCTGATCAGCTCCAGAATTTCGTCCACTTCCTGCTGGTTCTTCTCGATCTGCACCAGGCCTTGCTGCTGCGCGTCCGTGAGGTCCGGACCGCCGCCTCCGCCCGTGGCCACGTCCACTTCGCCGAATAACTCTTTCTTCTGGGTCTGCGTCGAGGCTACGGATCATGCATGGCGATGGACAGCAAACTGGTTCCCGGAGCGGGAGGGGCTTCCACCTTCTTAATTGCGAAGGTTGTGCTCTCGGCAAAGCCTATGGTCGTGTCGAGCGCCATGGCCTTCTGTCCCTCATCGCTCTTCTCCTGGATCTGCTTGATCTGCGACTGGATCGCTTCGAGAGCTTCGAGACGGTCCTTTAACTCCTCAGGAGACAGTTTTCTCTGCGATGTGAGCCATCCGGTGTGGAATGCATACAATACGCTTTTTCCGGTCCTTTTCATATCTTTCTTTCAAACTTTCATAATTTGCTGCAATGTCCTTAACCTTCTTAAAGATGGCCGCGTTCGTCTCGATTACCTTCCTGCGATTTGCACCACGCTCCGTCATTTCATTACGCTTTTCGATCATCTACGAGATTACTTCTCATCCGAAAACTAGTTACATCTTTTGTTTCCGTAATTTGGCTGAGAATCTTCGACTGCAGAGCCTGGAATCCCTTTTCATCTTCCTCAACAGTCATTCCCTCCGGAATGTCCAAGCCAAGTTCTTCCTGCATGACGTGCAGCTTCTCAAGCATTGCACCTACTTCTTTCTCCATGATACTATCGTGGTGAAAATGGTATGATCTTTTGAGAAATGAGCACGAAAACGGTTATTACGAAAAAATCGCGGACTCTAACAAACAGCACTTATTCCTGATAAAAGGCATTTTGGAACTCTGTGTAGTGCGTAATCATATCTTCGGTGATCGACGGCTTTGTCTTTGCGATGGAGCACAAAAGCATCTCTCGAGTGATGAACTGCGTGTTGATGTCCCTTCTCAGCGCCTCGTATACCGCTTCTCGGCACACACTTTCAATATCTGCACCCGAAAACCCGTTTGTCTTCTCAGCCAATTCATCCAGGTCCACACTCTCGTCGACGTGAATTCTGGACGTGTACACTTCAAAAATCTTTTTCCGAGTCTCCAAGTCGGGAGGAGGAACATAGATGAGTTCGCCCAGCCTTCCCGGTCGCAGCAGCGCATCGTCGATCATGTCCGGTCGATTCGTCGCTCCAATCACAATAATTCCATCACTATTCTCAATTCCGTCCATCTCCGTGAGAAACGTCGCCATCACACGCGACTGCACGACGTCATCACCTCCCGCGAGGCTTCGCTTGCAAACCAGCGCATCGATCTCATCCAAAAACACCACGGCCGGCGTGGCTGCGCGCGCGCGTTGGAACAGCGAGCGAATGATAAACTACACTCAACGCTACCTGCGCTAACGAAAACCTCCGATTCGCCGACGTACGGCGTGAAAACCTGCGAAGTGTTGAGTGTCCAGAAGGAGGCGTGCGCCTCCGACGCGATCGCGCGCGCCAGCGTGGTTTTGGCACACCCCGGCGGTCCGTAGAGGAGAATCCCGCGGGGAGGCGCTAAGTGGAAACGTTGAAATTGTGTTTTGTAGCGAAACGGCCACTCGATGTACTGCAAATGAGAGAACCGTGGAACCCTGCACTTTCTGGAGCTGCGTTTTGATGGCGTCCATTCCGCCGATCTGTTTCCAGTCGATTCCCGCGACTTTCTCCTCGTTCTTCATCACGGTGGGCACGATCCCGCCGAGAACCGACACCAGAAACGCGAGCGACAGCGCCGCGGACCGCTCGATCGACGCCACCATCGCCTGCCGCACGAACATCTCCAGATCGGCACCGGAATAACCGCGGGTCAGCATGGCGAGCTCGTCGAGAAGCGGCTGGACCTGCTGCGCGGCGTGAAACTCCCCGAAATAGAGTTCTAAAATGCGTCGTCGGTGGAGCTGCGTGGGCGGGAGGATGGGAATTTCCTTGTCGAAGCGGCCGGCGCGGCGAAGCGCTTCGTCGAGCGCGAAGGGGCGCGTGGTGGTGGCGAGGACGAGAATTCGATTGGAAACGCGGAGGCCGTCGATGCAGGTGAGGAGCTGGGAGACGATCTGCGTGTTTTCTTGGTCGTAGTCGGTGCGTTTGCTGCAGAGACGGTCGATGTCTTCGATCCAGATGATCGACAGATTGCTGCGCGATGACTCCGCGAAGCGGCTCGCCGAGGCGAAGAGGCTGTGCACCTTGCGAGCACTGTCGCCGTAGTCGGAGCCCTCGAGGGAAAGAAGGGTTAGTTGCTGGGTGAAGATGTTGAGATACGGTTTGCAGAAGGTGATGGCGTGATCGATCTAGGGTGGGACGGAGGAGGCGTTGGTACGATGCTGGTTTTACCGAGGCCGTGGTCTCCAGTGAGGAGAATGCCTTTGTAGAGACGAACGGAGGGATACATGATGTTGTACAGAATCGATGTCACCAAGGCGTGATAGGCGGTTTCCAGGCCAGGGAGAGGGCATTGCAGCGACGAGAGTGATTTTGGAGGAGGCGAGAGCTTCACTTCCTCGATGGCGTCATTGACATAGGTTTGGTGGAACATCGCCGTCGTGTTCAGATCGCACATCACCACCGGTTTGGAAGGGAGAGAGCTAGAGATCATGCGGGCTGATGCACACAAACGATGACAAGTAGTAGGAGTAATCTCCCAGCGTTACGCAGCCGCCTAGAAAGAGCGGACAGCGATGCAGATATTGGGAAAACCGACGAGTGAACGACGGTGGATAGGTTTGAAGAGTGGTTTCAAAGGTCAAACGAAGGGAAACTGTGGGACTGGTAGGAAGCTTTTGGAGAGACACCGAAATGTACCGTTTTGATTCGGCTTTGGGTTTGGCACTACAGGGATACAGCAGGATGATCGAATTTGTCAGGGGCTTCTTTTCCCAAGCAACAGCAACATATTGGCACTCCTAAAATATCAAAATAAACGAGAATGAACAAACAGTGGACTGAATGATCACCACATCACCACTTTGAATACCCTCTTGCTTCATAATGGACTTTGCAATCATGCACTTTCCAAAATACTCGATACTGCCGTTGTTTACCATTTCTGCTACATAGTGTTCTTTTCTTGTTTCTGTAGTCATGGCAACTGGTTGGGTCAATTATTCGTATACTAGAAACACGGAAAGCAGAAAAGCACGTTTAATGAGGATTTTGGCACGTATATGTTTTATAATTGGCAGTGATAAATACTTGCCGTATTTCAAATAGGATGAGAAAATGAATCTAGCGAAAAGAAGGAAAAGCTTGATAATCATAGATTCCCTACTACTGTACTTTCTGATTAAAATTGTGATAGAAACAAAAAGAAGTCATGTCTACTGAGCCTGAGAAGATTGTTGAAAGCGAGCCCAAGGTGGAGGTGGAGAAAGAAGAAGCTGAGAAGAAGGTGGAAGGTACTTTTTGATTGACAAGGGGTTCCGTCTAGAATCTGCTCCTACTACCCACAAGCTCCAATCTGCTTGGTCTTTCTGGTAGTTGGCTTGGCGTTCTGTGAACCTGTAGGTACGATAAGAAGTTGCCCAGAGGTCAGCAGTCGTATTATCTTTTTGACCTTCAGTTAACTTTGTAGAGTAAACTACACGGAGAATCTTAAGAGAATCGGTACTTTTGATACGGTGGAGGATTTCTGGAGGTAGGCGCCTGTCTGCCGTCTGAGAACTAGATATTATATTCATATGAAGCGTCCCTCTGCTCTGGATAAGGATTGCAATTACTATCTTTTCCGAGAGCAGCTTGTGCCTGCTTGGGAAGTAGAGGCTTTTGTCTGTATCTGAGAATAGACGTTCCCTAATGGCGGTTGCTGGATTTTAAAGGTCAAGCGCACATCGGGTGTTCTCGGCAAGCTGTGGCAAGATCTTGTAGAGTCTTTTCTCTCCTTTTCATATCTCAGGTTTTCGCTGCGATCGGTGAAGCCTTTGAGGATCCGAACGTGGTGGGCGTGATGATGGCCCGTCGCAACAAGGAGGACATGATCAGCGTGTGGAACAGCGCGAACACGTCGTTCTCGAGCATCGGCGACAAGCTGCGCGAGATTCTGGGCCTGGATCCGTCTACGATCGTGGAGTACAAGATGCACAAGCAAAGTCTGGTGGATGGCTCCACCTTCCGCAACGCGCAGCCCTACGTGTTCGCGGCGAAGCCAGAAGAGACCGTGGTAGTGAACGAGGAGAAGAACGCTTAAACTTACATCCTTTTGGTTTGTTTGTTAGCAAGTAAGTAAGTAAGTAAGTAAGTAAGTAAGTAAGCAAACAAACAAGCAAACTAACAAGCACGTAGTGTGGTGATGGTGATAATGATAAGAGCAATACCTGTTATTACCATTGGAAAAACAAAGATTAGTTGAGGTTGAAAGCAGTCATGATCGAATCATGGATGAATAAGCACACGAATTAGAAGCAGCAACCACTCCCACTACAGCTATTCCGTAACCAAAGAGGAACTGCGATAAAAGGACAACTGTCTAATCTCATGAATGCTTTGTGAACAAACACGCAGAAATAAAACGACAACTACTACTATTTCATAAACAGAGCTTGGAAGGCGAAGAGGATGAACATCACGCCGCCCGAGATGGTAATCACGCGTGGAGACACCTTGGAAGCGAGCCAAGACCCAGCCAGCACAGCGAGAAGGGACGTAATAAAGTACCCGAGACATCCTCCCACGAAAACAGAGAGAACTGGATGGGTGCCGGCGAGGAGAATCGTAGAGACCTGGGAGCGATCGCCCCATTCCGCGAAAAATATCATCAGGAAAATCTGCAGCACTAAACTGTCCTGAGGCTTGCAGAGCTTCGATTGCGTCGCGGGGGAGAGCAGAGGGGAGGTTTCCTGCACACCATCCGATTCGGTCTTGAAAGTGGACTGGATTTCCTCTTGGGCTTCGGCCAGCTCGCCGTTCTCACTACGAATCAAGAGAGAGAAGAATTGAAACTCGTCCTTCATTCGAATTCCATTAATGATCATTTTTACACCGAAAAAAATAAACTACGGTGAACCACAAGAAGCAGAAACCTACCAGAAAAGCAGCGAAGAGCAAAGTCACTGCACGAGACATAATTACAGGAAGAACAACTCCCATTAGACAGGAAATACCGTTCATTAAAAACAGGGCTGCCAGAGAACCAATTAAAACAACCCATTTGTTATAAGTCATAGACATGATGGCAGAAATGAAAAATGTTTTATCCATAAACTCCATACTCACAATCATAATCGCACTGTGAGTCATTCCATCAAACCAACTGTTATTTTTCCCCTTCTATGCAATAGTTTAAAAAAGACAGGCTTTACATGATGGTGATGGTGTCGGTAGTCCGCTTTATGGCGAATATTATCTAATATATGCTTCTTTTCTTTACCAGGGTGGCCAAAGTGTTTCCCCATATGTTTATATTCTGCCTTGTCGCTGAAAGAGCCTCTCCGTTTCCACATTTCATGACGCAGGTGAGGAGAAAGATGTTGAGCCTCGCTACTCTCTTCTCCAAAAGTACCTGATGGCTTCGGTTCTTGAAGCTCCGAGTCATCACTACACATTACTTCGTTTACGAGAAACAACATGGGCAGTTCACTACTACAGTTAACTGTCTGAAGTAAAAGAAATGAAATTAAGCCTATCAGAACGAAGTTCTTTACCATTCCACACGAAAGACTGTTGAAATGAGAAATAGTTGTTTAAAGGATATTGGCGTTACCGCGGGAAAACAATGTACTGATCGTGTATGCTATTCCCTATAAGTTTTCCTATCGATTCATGTGACACGATGATTGTTTTGCATCGTATTGGATGTTTTTTGCCATGTGAGCATTTTGCGTTAAATCTCCAGTTTTCAAAGGATTTAGATATATTTCACTACTAATATTGAGTATGCCACGCTGTCAAAATTTTAAAATATCGTTGTTACTACGAAATAACTCCTTTTTTGTCATTCATTATTGTATACTTGAAATGGCTCGCATTATACCCAACAAACCATTCATATTTTGTGTGTTGGCATTAGTGGCTTGGCAGATAGCCTCTCTCTTTGTGGTAATTCCTGTCCATTTGTCAACCATCCTTCTTTCAGTATGTCTGGTGTATGTCGGATCTTACATTTCGATTTTTACAAAGAAGGTGAGAGCTGGAGTTGGAGGTTATGTTTAGGAGGAACAGATGAATAAGGAGGACGCAATGACGTTCCCTCTCATTGCCTCTGCTGCCCTTTTTGGTTTGTACATTGCTTTCAAGTATTTCAACGAGAATGTGGTTAAGATGCTCATTTTTATTTATCTGATCATTGCATCGTGCGTTGCGATGGCGGGATGCATTAATTTGGTCCTTGAGAACTATTTCCCTCTAGTGATCTACCAGGTGAATATCAAATGGCGTATTGGAATCTCGACTCTGCTTACTGTGTAGCATTCAAGATTCAGTTCACAATTCGTCTTTGTGACCTGCTTTCGTATCCGAGCTCGTTTGCATTGGGTATTTTATACTTCGTGTACAGCCACTGGTTCGGCAACAATGTCTATGGCATCTGCCTCGTGATTTTCGTACCCTCTTCTCTCCCCTCTCCATTCGTAGTCTCTGGCCTACGAATCCATCGGTTCTTTCAAGAACGGATGCTTACTGCTTGCTGGTCTCTTCCTCTACGATATTTTCTGGGTCTTCGGTACGGAAGTCATGGTGAAAGTGGCAACCGGCGTGAAGGGTCCCATCAAGTTCGTGTTCCCCAAAGCGCTTCCCGCTCCGATGGAATACACGCGTGAGGGCTTCAGCATGCTGGGTCTGGGCGATGTGGTGGTTCCTGGGTTCTTCATTGCCTTTTTGCTGGCGTTCGACGCGTACAACGCGCGCAAAGAAGGCAAAAACACGGCGGAGAGCACGGATTGGAGCAAGCCGTACTTCCACACCGGCTGCGTTTTCTATGCGCTGGCTCTGCTGATCACGGTGGTGGTGATGATCGCGTTTAAGCACGCGCAGGTAGTGACTGGGGGTGGGAGTAACGCGTAGCCAGCGTTGCTGTATATTGTGCCCGCGTGCTTTATCGCCTCGTTCGGCACGGCGCTGGTGAAGGGACAGCTGTCTGAGCTGTGGAACTATTCGGAAGAGAAGATAACGACGAAGTACTCGAAGAAGGAGGATTAAGGGGTAATTGGATTGAATGCTCGTTGGGCTGTTTGTTGGGATAAAGTGATGTGAAATGGAATAGAATGGGATGAAATGGGATGAAATTGAAGGAATGGAAAGGATTTGATGGGATAAAATAGGATATACGGGATATGAAAAAAGACAATAGTCAATAAAAGTAATGCAGAACCCACTTAGAATCATTCACATGCACACCACTCTACTTCGTTCTTCTACAAATAATACCACACCAACTTCCTCTCCCATAACTCTTTTCTCAAACAAACACATCAAAATAGACATAAAACTCCCAAAAGTACAAACTAAATCTTGGGCAGCAATGCTTCCAAATCCTCCTCGTTCATCTCACAGTATCGTAAAATATGTTCACAAATCTCTTTGATTTCTGGATCACTTACACTCTGAATCTCCAGAACTCGATCCACGCCTCCCGCATCATTAAACGTCACAAAATAAGGATTATCCGTTAGCTGACAGTGCTTCTGAACATGATTTCCGACCTATTCATCACAATCCTCTCGCGTCTTCACCTTCAAAATGCGATTCAACGAAATCAAAATGTTTTTAACTAAAGAGATTTTGATCGTCTGCGACAGAACGCGAATCAAAGGACTAATCACATGCTTCCCCACGATATACCGAATCTACTCCTCACTTTCTCTCTCTCCTCCTCCTACCTGTTCCACCGTGCCTCCATTAATCGCATTGCACACCGCCCACGCGGCTTCGATCTGCAGAATCGGGCTCTCCGTGTTCATCACATTAATCAAATATTCGATAAAACCCCGATCAATCACCGAGCGGATCTGCGTCGGGTTCCCCGCCGTCACATTGCTCACAATCCACAAAATATCCTTCTTCTGCAGCTCCTTCGCCTTCGGCAGGATCGAAACCAGCACTTGCAGCAATCCTGCGTCCAGCATCAACTGCGTATCTTCGCTGTCTCCCGTCACGATATTCCCCGCTACGCGCAGCGCCGGGCTCTGCAGGCGGATGTTATCCACGTAGATCAATCGCATTAAATACGTCGGGTTCACGAACGGGATCACGACCTTCTTCTGCGCCGCCTCCGCGTCGAGGAGGAACGAAAACGCCCAGCAGGCGTCGGAAACGACTTCGGTGACGTTGCAGTAAAGCATTTGCTGAAGAAATCGGAGGTGCGGCTGGATGAATTGGAACAGACCGGGCAGTTTTTGCTGGTTTCGGCACAGGTTGGAGAGACACCACATGCAGTTTTTGACCACGCCGATTTTGTCCAGGTTGCTCTGCGCGAACGCGATGATCAGCGAAAAACCGTTCGATTGCAGGATCTTCTCGCGGTATTCGTCGCAGTCTCCGGCGATGTTGCCTAGCGCCCAGACAGACTGCTCCTGCACTTCGAGATGTGAGGATGAGAGAAGGGAGAGCAGGGGACTGATCGCTCCGGATTGGACCACGACTGCGGTCTGCGATGAGATTTAGAGCAGAAGAATACCTGTTGGGGGGTTCCTGAAGCAATGTTGGTGAGTGCCCAGGAAGACTCAAACTGTAACTTGGGGTTGTTTTCGTATGTGAGGAAACGGACGAATGCAGGAACGACACCCGAGGCTATCACATCATTCACGTAGAGACCATCTTCTAGAGGGCTTAGTTCGCAGTGACGTACTTACTTTGAGAAAGAAGCCGTCGGACCTGCCTTGCCGAATCTATTAACGTGTTCGTATCCTCTTTAAGAATCGAAGCAGCGTATTCACCGAGCTAGTTTTAAAAAAGATATAAGACACAACTCTATTGATATCAGGCAAATTGGTATCCGCATTCGTTGGTTCTGACTGAGGTGAGTTTTCAACTCTCTATCCGATCACAAATGACTACTACACATACTCCACGCTTTTTTTGAACAAACTCTTCACGTCTTCTTCTTGATTGTTCGGAAGAGTTGGAAGCTTGCCGATTCGCTATAAGAGAGCCAGAGATGCCTTTCTTTATAGCAGAATTGATGCTTCCTCGATTCATGACACAGATTAATAAAACTCTGAATCTCTAAACAGTGCAAGAAATCATTTATGGAATGTGCAGTATCCAGGAGTTATTTCTGGAAGTCGAAAGGCCTCATTGACAAAGTACTTCTTCCTATGTTGCTCTCGAAACACCGATTTTAAATTTGGCACCAACTGAGGAGCGAGTGTAATGCAAATAGTAAGTCTTATCGTTATCAAGAAATCATCCCCTATTTCAATGTTTCCCTTTGATTAAAAGGGTTGTTCAAAATGGAAAAACAACCGATTATTAAGCGTCGTGAATACCTATCTATTATCCTATTTCAAAAAATACATAGTCTTATCCGTTCCTTGCATGAGGACGAAACTAGGGAATCTAGCGATCTGTTATTCAAAGTGGGAATTTCATCGAATGTGGTGACCGTTTAGATTATTAGGAACTATGGAAAATACGCCTCTGCGATTGTTCTCCAGGAGCTACTGAACGCCGTTTTACCTCAATCCGAAAAGAAGGACATTCGCTTTCAAAAAGAATTCTCCTTTCTGTCGGATTATTTCAGTAAGTTGATACGAAAGGTAGATTGCTCATTTGTTCTTGAAAGAGTACAGTTTGTGTGATTGCCTAATGCTCCAGGCATTTAATAATTATAAAGCAAAGGGGAAAACGATTCCCTACACACTCTTCTTGACGAATCTGCATCAAGACGACTTTTCAAACTGCGTTTTATCTATCACAATCTGTGGCATTGCATCCCAACCGTTTGGAGCCGTACTAGAATAGTGTTTTCTCATGATACTCAGGATGTCGAGAATTATTTAAAGGATTCCATTCCTAAAATCGTGTCAAACCACCAGAGCGACCTATTCCCCAGCTATCGCACAGACATCATCGAATTCATCCAAACCCATTCCTCCCTCTGGGATGCATCGCAGATCCAATCAATGATGAAAGAGCTTCTAAGCGACGGAGACTCCTGCCTCTCTCTTCTCTACAACAAAGACGCCGTGTCCCTGGCGACGCCCCCCAAAGCGTACAGCATCAAAATCCTTCTGGACATCGGATATATCGTTTGTGTGAACGAAGAAACGCTTTCCAGCGTGATTTCGGGTCTCTTCTCTTCCAGTCCGACGTTTCGACTGTTAATTAATGTTTAGAAGATAAAAATATAAATATAAATATAAATATAAATAAAAATAAAGAAGAAAAGAAGGAGGAGGAGGAACAAGAAGAAAAGGAACAAGAAGCAATCCAATTCGACCCCAGCGAAATCGCGTTTTTGCTAATCGGAATGGCCAACACGCCTCCTTCCAGCGATCTCTCCACGCAGATCCTTCTGTCTCCCTTCTCTCCTCTCCCTCATCCCCAGAGCGCGCGATTTCCTCGCTCGCCTCTCCATCGACCTGCCCCCCGAGATTCCAATCACCGGCTGGAACGCGAAGCTCGTCGTGCAGACGCTCCGTCGCTTCGACCCCTCTCTCTCCTTCTCCGAGGTCTTCAAGCGGATGGACAGCGATCTGCTCCGCCTGGACTCCACAGAGAGTTTCCTCTTCCTCAACGAGGCCTCGCTGGAGGCGCTGGGCGCACCGCTCTGCAATCTGCTGAAGTACCGATGGAAGACTCCTCGTGCGGATTGGGCTGTTTCTTGACGTGTAGAAGCCTGTCTGGCGCTGCTTCGCGGGATCGTCGCGGCTCCGGCGGAGTGTTTTTCGTCTCTGACGCGCTGCGCGCTGCTGACAAGCGATGCAGTGAAGAGCCTGAAGCCGGAGTTCGCGGCGTGGTCGTATCAGGAAGTCGTGGATTCGATGCTCTTCGTGCTGGAAAGCGCCGCGTTCGACGAGGCCAAAGCGCTGCTGTCTCCGATCCTCCAAGCGAATCCGGCGATCATTCTGATTGGTCTGTTCGCCTCTTCGATCCACTCCTACATGCATCGTTTTCTCACCGAGCAGCTCTGCCTTCGCGTTCTCTGCTCCTCGCTGGACGCAGACTTGAAGGACAGTCTCGCGCAAGGCATCCAGTTGCACTTATCGCTCGTTCTGGAAGTCCTGGAGCTCTTCATTCGCAGCCACAACGACGTTCCACACCGACTCCTCCTCAACATCAACCAGCTGGATCTCCAAACGCCCCTTCTGATCAGCAGCGATCATTTCGTGTTCAATCAGGTCTTCGTGAAGAACTGGACGCCCGACAATCCGCTGTCCCAGGCGTTTCAGCATCGCGTGGAGTTGTTTTCGTTCTCCGTGGTGGTGGAGAGCATGGTGCGGTTCATTCAGGAGCACTGCAGTGACGTGTCCGTTCCGGCGAGTCGTCCCTTGCTATCGCTGCTAAGCATGCTGGAAGAGCGGTGCGTGGAGAATCAAGACGCGGCCATGCAGACTACGGTAAAGAACGCGATCCAGAGCATTTTGGAGTCGATCCCCGCGATGAAAACGGCGTGGGAAGCGATGGTCCAATCCAAGGGGAAGGAGATTCTGAACGTTCTGGATCAGGAAGAGGAACCGAAAGGCGATGTGGCGTCTGCGTGCTCGAAGATCGCCGAATTGAAAGCGTCGACGTTGACGCTCGATCACGATGTGTTCGATACTTGCATTCACACGCTTCTTTCTTCGTTACTGGGTTCTTCAGTGGGAGTGGCTACCGAGATTCTCGGGATTCTCTTCGAGAAACGATTGTTGGAAGACAAGGAGTATTCGATTCTGACGCAAGTGATGGACACGATGAAGCAAATCAACGAATACGACCTCTTCGCTAACGTGTTGAAAGTCCTTCTTCCCCACATTACCGAGCTTCTTCACGATTATTGCGACATCGAGAAGCAACTCCAGTCGCTTCCTTTCTTCGTCGAGTACCAACGCCAATCCTCGCTTCGATCCTCCGCTTCCGCCGCTCTTTCCGGCTCCATCGCTCCGGAGCAAGCGGCTACGATCAGCTTCAGCAATCTGCTGAGCGGCCAAGGCGACGTCTGCTCGATGCAATTGTTCTCGAACATTCCCGACCTGGAAAGCCCGATTCTCTCGAAGATCACGCGGCTGATGAACCAGATTTCGAACAGCAACGTGGCGACGATCGCGACGAAGATGTACGCAGCCGTGCCGCGCAGCAGCTGGCTGTCCTTCGCGAAGTTCCTCACCTTCTACATCAAGACGCAGCCGGTGTATTCCAAGCTCTACCGCGAGCTCGTGATCTCGTTTAACGACCGCGAGCTGGAAGATCTGATTCTGGACTCGTGTATTCTCGCGGTGAACGAGCTCTTCCAAGAGCCCGAAACGGAAGTGAGCCACCAGAACATTCAGACGCTCGGAACCTTCATCGCTCTCATGACGATCAGTCGCGACCACGCGCTCCCGCTCCGCCGAATCGACCTCAAGAAGATCCTCCAAGACGGCCTCGCGCGGAGCACGCTGGGCTGCGCGATCCCCTTCGTCTGCTCCGTCATGCGCGGCTGCTCTCTCTCGAAGGTGCTGAAGAGCCCGTCGCAGCCCTGGGTGCACATGATGCTCGTCGAGCTCATGAAGATCCACGTGGACCCGTCCATCCCCGCCAAATTCAAGCGCTACATCGACAACATGCTCAAGGACTTCGCCATTTCGGACGAGCAGAAAGCGGCCATCGAGCGCGAAGCGCACTCGGCCCTGCAGCATCCGCTGCATCTCTCCGCTCCCCAGTCGCTGCATCTCTCCGAGCAGCCCACGCCGATCACGGGCTCGCTCAACCCGCCGACTCTGCAGCCCACGCCGTCCTTCTCGACGCCTCGCGGCAGCCCCAGTTCGCCCCATCTGAGTCGGTCGGTGTCGTACACGCCCACTCCGTCGTACATCACGTCGTCCATGCCGTCCGTGCCTTCGGTACCATCCGTGCCATCGGTACCATCGGTGCCGTCCGTGACGTCGGTGCCATCGGTGCCGTCCGTGAGTCCCTCGCCCAACCCCATGCCGCCTCACTTCACGCCCTATCCGCTCATGCCGGGCGATCAGAGCTCGCGGATGTCCTTCCCGATGCCGATCCCGAGCATGCAAGAAAGCGTGCTGGAGACGATTTTGGACACGCCGAGCAACCTGGGGCCGCATCGGCCCATCCCCGTTTCTCGGCAGCTCGTCGAGCAGTACTTCAAGAAGATCATCGACAGCACGCTCTTCGAGCTGCAGAGCTATCCGCTGTACAAGCTCGTCTCGGGCGAGCCACTCTCCTACAGCAGCGCGCTGGCCGCCAAGCTCGAGAGTTTCTTCAACTTCAAGACGCATTTCCCCGCGGAGTACCGCGCCAATCTCTACAACTCGATCATCCTCTCCTTCCTCTACTCCACACTCATCAAATGCCCCGATCTCCTTCTCTTGCAGCTCCGCCAGCTGCTCGTCCCCACCCTTCTCTCCAGCATGCAGAAGCACTTCTTCCGCCCGCCCGCCGTGCTTCTCCTCCAGGCCTTACAAGCCGTTCTTGCGAACCCTTCCGCTTCGGTGGACGTCGGATTCCTCGGCACGCTCCTCCTCAAGAAGCTGCTTCTCGTCGCGCAGCTGGACGACCTGCTCGCGCGCGTGCTGCACTCAATCCCCGCCGAGCAGCTCGAGAAATCCTCCGTGCCGCGCGTGGTGACCGATCTGATCCAGCAGCTGATGATCAACCGCCACGTTCTCTACACCAACAATCTCCCCAAGACCATCCAGATCGCCGTCGAGATCTCCGCGAGGGACTCCGCGGCCGCCAATCTCGTGCAGCTCCGCAACGTCCTGCTCCAGCTGCAACGTCGCTACGAAGTCCTCGTCCAGGAAACAGTGTTCCTGGATCCGTTCCGCGGCGTTCTCCACGACTGGATCAACCTGGGCAGCCATCCTTCGGAGGGCCAAGTCATCGATTTCATTCTCGACCTGAAGCAGCGAGGCCTCTTCCAGTCCGAGACCCAAACCGTCGTCGCGCTCCGCCTCCTTCTCCTCTCCGCGCTGGACTACTTCAACCCCAGCCAGCCGATGCCCTCCGAGGTCGCCAGCGAAGTGACCATCTCCAGCGAGGAGTTCCCGTCGGCGGTGCACGCGTTCGTCGCGCTGGCGCTGGCTCTCTATCGCTACACCCACGGCGCCAGCAAGAGCGGGCTGCTTCTCTGCATCATGACGAGCATTTCCAGCGTGCTGACCGACAAGCAGAAGGACGGCGCGCAGCCGAACAACCGCGTGCTCTTCTTCATGCTCCTCGAAATCATCGAGACCGTGCTGGAGCCCTGCCATCTCGCCTTCGCCGACCCCGCTGCCGCGCCCTGCGAGGCCGCCCTGACCACCGACATTCTCCGCGTCCTTCTCTACGGCCTGCAGCGCATGCAGCCCTCCATCCTCCCCTCGTCCTCCTATGCGTGGATCGCCGCCGTCTCTTCGCTCTCCCTCATCCGGCTCGCCAAGCAGTCCGCGGACGAGACCGTCGCCACGCAGTACGCAGGCCTGCTCGTCGCGTACCTCCGCTTCCTCGACAACTTCTGGACGCCGCTCGACGAGCTGCCCAAGCCGCTGGAGCTCCACATCAAAGCGCTCACCTCGCTGCTGCTGACGCTCTACGCGGAATGGCCTGTGCTTCTCGCCTCCCACTACGCAGAGCTCTGCCTGCACATCCCCTCGCAGTTCCTGCAGCTGCGCAACATCATCACCGCCGCGCAGCCGGAGAACGTCCCGCAGTTCAACCCGCGCGACCGGTTTTCGGACGAGCTGGAGAAGTGTCTGCGGAAGCCGACGGTGGACAAGTGGGACACGCGCGAACTGCTCGGCGTTCTGCAGCTGGACGCGAAGTTTGCCGCGTATGGGAGCGACGAGGGAAGCAATAACGCCAGTGTGATTGCGGAACTGGTGAGCATCGCGCTGCAGCAGGTGGCGGTGCCTTCGGTGTTCCACGCGATGCTGTACGAGGTGGCCGAGTCGATCCACATCCAGTATGATCATGAGATCGTGCAGTTCCCGCTGAAGTTCTATGAGGAGGTGCTCAAGAGTCTCAAGGAGAAGGATTATAACGACGCGGTGTACTCGCTCCTGGATCATATTCGCTATCCGGCGCGAGACACCTTCTATTTCTGTATGCTTATCAAAACGGTGATCGAGAATTACAGAATGGAGTCGATCTATTTGCTGGGCAAGCGGTTGCTCGTTCCAGGACCCAAGCCGTGGGGATTGGAGTTCCTTTTCTCCCAAATTATCAGTGCATCGGAAAAGGTGAGGGCAGAAGCAATGAAAGGCTCACCGGAAATGAAGAAGCTGGTTGAGGAATACACACAGTGATGTGTTCGTTTGTTTATAAAAAACACGCATCCCAAAATAGAGTACAACAAACTAAACAATTTACACAGAGCTTTCCATGGCAGCTCTCTTCTGGTTGAGAAGGGCAGTCGCCTGCTCGGCAAGCTGCTTCTCCTTCTTGTCCTCACCCTTCTTACGGTGGATCTGCTCAATCAGCACACGCTTGGTCTTGTAACGGTTACCCTTGGCCAGAGCGTAGAAGTGAGCATACATGTGCTTGTCGATCTTGCCGGCATCACGGTACTTGCGCAGCAGTCTACGGAGCACACGAATGCGACGCATCCAGAGCAGTTTCTCGGGAATACGGGCGTTCATGGTTCCGTGACGCTTACCGTAGCCAGTATGGTTGCCGCGGGCCTTGGCCTCGTGACGAATGTTCACACGAGCACGAGAGTGCATCAGATTATGCTTTTTTACGATCATTCCGTTCTTGATCATGGAGCGCACACTCTGTCGGGAGTTGGCAACGGCAATGTTGCTCACCTCGCTGGGATCCATCCACACTTTGCGTTTGCCACACTTAAGAACAGCAGCAGCGAGTCTCTTCTGAAGCTTCAAGCTAACCATCTCTCAAAATAATTATGAGTTTGTTGCATTTGTGGTGAGATTGTAGCGAGATATGGGATTCCTGGAAAATTCTCGGAAATGAGAAACAAAACAAGAGGATTTTTGCAATTCCACTCTTCCATGATACTCTTTCAGTCTGCCATGTAGAGCGAAACTAGCCTTTGGGATGTGGTTATTCTCCTATATTTCTCCACTTGGTCCACCTTTGCTCATCACCATTCTTCTTCTCCTCCTCCTTCCTTTGCTTCCTCGTCTTTCCAACAAACAATGCACGTTTTACCAGCTGTCCAACTTCATCGTTCCCTTCTCCTCCAGATTGACATGCATCTTGTGAGCGAGCTTGAGAATCTGCGGCTCGTGTCCGGCTCCCTCCGCGAGGCACTTCTTCTCGGCCATCTTGTAGTAGTCCATGAGCTGGTCGCGATAGTCGGGATGAGCGCAGTTCTTAATGATGCACTGCGCTCTCTGTCTGGGCGACAATCCACGCAGGTCAGCAAGTCCCTGCTCGGTGACGATCACATCGAGATCATGCTCGGTGTGGTCGATGTGCGCGGCCATCGGCACGATGCAGGAAATGCCCGTGGGGTCGGTCTTGCTCTTTCGGGCGGAGGGCGTGTGCATGATGGAGAGATAGGCGTTGCGGAGGAAGTCTCCGGAGCCGCCGAGGCCGTTGATCATCTTGGTGCCGCCCACCAGCGAGGAGTTGGCGTGCGCGTACATGTCCACCTCCACCGGCGTGTTCATCGCCACCACGCCCAGACGACGCACGATCTCCGAGAAGTTCGCGATGGCCTCGGGGCGGATCACGCAGCGGTTCTTGTAGAAGTCCAGGTTCTTGTAGAAGCGCTCGAAGCCGGCGGGGGAGAGCGACAGCGACACGGCGGAGGCGTAGTCGAGCTTGCCCGCGTCGAAGAGATCGAGCACGGTGTCCTGCAGGACCTCCGACCAGACTGCACAATGAGCCAAACAGAGCCAATGGAGTACCTTGGAGATGCTCGAAGTGGCTGCCAGCGAGGCCGCCGATCACGGCGTTGGCGATGTTGCCCACGCCGGACTGCAGAGGCAGCAGATTGGCGGGGAGACGGCCCTGCTTGACCTCGTTGTCGAAGAAGTCCATGATGTGTCCGGCGATCTTCTTCGAGTTCTCGTCCACCGCGGAGAAGCCACGGCCGTTATCGGGCAGCGTGCTCTCCACCACGGCCACCACCTTGGTCTCGTCGAAATAGGCGAGATCGGAGCCGATGCGGTCGTCCACGCGGGAGATCAGGAAGGGACGACGGTGCGGAGGACGCGGGTCCGCAACGATATCGTGGATGCCGCGCAGCACGGGCAGAGAGGTGTTCACCTCGATGACGATCTTGTCGGCCAGAGCGAGGATCTCGGGAGTGATACCCACACCCGTTCCCAGGACCAGACCGCCGTCCTCGGTGATGGCAGTCGCCTCCACCACGGCGATGTCCAGCTTGCCGGGGTTCGTGGCGTGGTCCTTCGTGAAGAAACCCCAGGAGAGGTTCTGGGCGAAGGCGGACAGGTGGATATCACCCATCTCGATCTTGCCGGTGTTGATGCCCTTGGCAATGTTCTTACCGGTCTGGTAAGGCCAACGACTAGTCTGTGAGACGGGAGCAACCAAACGTACCGAGAAATCATACCCAGCTTGGCCCAGCGATCCTCGGTCTCGGCACCCACAGAGGCTCCAGCAAACAGCTCAAACTGAAGCTTCGCTCCCTCCTTCTCCACCATATCAGCAACAGCAATGGGAACCACCTTGGGATATCCAGCAGGGGTGAATCCAGACCAACCGACCGTCATTCCGTTCTTGAAGAACTTGTGGGCCACTTCAGTAGGGGTCATGACCTTGCTAAGAAGGCTCTTGCGAGCACAACGACTGAGAAGAGATGCAGACATCTTTCTAGGGGTTACAATGCGCATAAAGCAGGTACCAAACCAAATAAAAAATAATGTAGAAAAGGGGAAGGGCGTTTCAACCACACCCAAACTCCAATTTGATTCAACAAACAAAAATAGACAGAATCCTTTACTGTTCACCCATCTGTCCCTTTACCAGTGCTGCGTAGAACTCACACTTCTTCAGCAGTTCCGCGTGGCTTCCGTAGTCCACGATCTTTCCTTCATAAACAACAAAGATGATATCGCTGTCCACAATCGTGCTCAGTCGATGCGCTACAGTAACGACCGTGCAGGGATGCGTCGATCGCCACTTCTCCAATGCCTCCAAGAACTTGTCCTGATTTTCGCTGTCCAGCGCGCTCGTCGCTTCGTCCAGCAGCAGTACGTGCGGCTTTCGAAGAATCGCGCGAGCCAACGCCAATCGCTGCTTCTGTCCTCCCGAAACCGACTTTCCGGTCGATCCGAGATCCGTTTCGAATCCATCCACCATTTCATTGATGAAATCCATGCACAACGCTTGCGTGCAAGCGTCCATCAGCTCCGCTTCGGACACTTCATGATCCACTCCCATCACCAAATTCTCGCGAATCGTGCCGCTGAACATGCACGGCTCTTGGTTCACCGCGCCCAGCAGCGAGCGATACGAGTCTAAATTGACGTTCTGCACATTGACTCCGTCCATCAACACTTCGCCACTCTCCGGTTTGTAAATTCGCTGGATGAGCGAAATGATCGTACTCTTTCCACACCCACTGGGACCCACGAAAGCCACAGAAGATCCCTTGGGAATTGTGAATGAGATGTTCGACAAAATTTTAGCAGTGGGTCGAGAAGGATACGTGAACGACACATTATTGAACGTGATCGCTCCGTCCTTTCCCTTCTCGGGAAGCGCACGCGCTGCATCGTTTTCGTTCTCCATGTTAATCACGGAGAGAAGATTGTTCGCCGATCGCTGGGCGAGTTCATTCGACGCAGTGTACGCCATGTTGATTCCTACAGTGGCTGCGCAGGTGTTGATGGTCATGTAAACGAACATCATGCGAACGAAGTCGATTTCGCCCTTCTGAAGCATGGAGAACGCGACTAAGAGCACGACGGCATCGTAAACACAAGGCATGAAGAGAGAAAGGCCTTGGCCGATGGCTCCGCGCATGAATCGTTGCGTTGTCTTCTTGTTGGTGGGCTCGAGTTTCTTCATGATTTGGTTACTCAGCGTGTTTTGGAGATTGTAAGCGTGCACGGTGTGGATGTTCAGAATGCAATCCGTCAAATCGCCCGATCGCTCAGTCAGCTCTCTGTCGATCTGATCGGACACTTTCGCCATGATCATCCACTGCATGTACTCCACGACGAGCAGAAAAGGAGACATGCAGACGGCAACCAACGTCAGTTTCCAGTTTCCAGCGGGGGTGAAGCAGGTCACGAGCGAGATGATGATGAGCAGGTAGTTCTCAAAGATGAAGTACATGCGATCCACAAAGTCTCGAACACGTCGGCCATCGATGCTCAGTCGCGACGTGAGAATAGAGGGCATGTGCTTGGGATCGTCGAAGAACTCCATGGGCATGAAAATATACTTCTTGTACGTTTCTCCACGGATGTTCGCAATCATTTGTTCTCCCACGATACCACCAGCAACCCAATTGTAAAGCGTTCCCAGAGCGTTCACGACCGTGAACCCGATCATAATGTACACACACAGCCAGCCGTCCTTCCACAGTCGGTTCAAATCGAATGTGAAGAGCAGCTCCTGCAGAACAGAAGAGCAATAGGAGTAAATGGTGGGGAACGCAGCGCGAGCAATACTTCCCAGAAAACCCGTCCAGAAAAGCCATTTGTGATGTGGTACGAAATGAAGAAGACTGAACATGCTGACTTTCTTTTTCCTAGCATCTTCCTCTTCATCAGGGATCTCTTCCTTGGTTTCTTGAACGAGTTGGAGGCTCGCATGATTCATACTGGAATGGCGACTCGATTGAATAGACATGCTTCGCTTTGTTTCGATTTTGATGTCACTCTCAGTTCGTTTCGCCACTTCGCTTTCACCTTGTTTTTCTTCTTGTTGTTGTTGTTTGGTTTCTTCTCCTCCAGTTTCTTGGCTTTTGTACAATCCCGCATAGATTCCGCCCTTCGCTAGCAAGCTTTCATGATCGCCTTCTTCCACGATTTGCCCTTCATCCACCACCACAATGCGATCACACGATCGAATGCTGCTCAGCCGATGCGCCACGATCACGATGCTCAGTCCCTTTCCCTTCGCTTCGTTCTTTCTTCGGATCGTTTCCATCGCGTTCTGCACGATTTTCTCGCTCGTCGTGTCCAGCGCGCTCGTCGCTTCGTCCAGCACCAGAATTCGCGGGTTTCGAATCAGCGCGCGGGCGATAGCAATACGTTGTTTCTGTCCTCCGGACAGCGAGCTTCCCAACTCGCCCACATAGGTGTCGTACCCTTTGGGGAACGATCGAATGAACGCGTCGGCCTCCACCAGCTTCGCGGCTTCCACCATTTCCACCTCGGTGCAGCCCTCGCGTCCATAGAGCAGATTCTCGCGAATCGTTCCGCTGAACAGCACGGGCTCCTGCGCCACGTAGCTGATCTGATCGCGAATCCACGCCGTCGAGAGCGTCGTCACATCGACTCCGTCCCATGTGATCGTTCCCGCCGTCGGAGCGTACAATCGCATCAAGAGTTTCAAGATTGTGCTCTTTCCGCTGCCACTCTCGCCCACGATTCCGATCATTTCGTTCTCGCGAATGGTGAAGTTGAGCTGCTTCAGCACTTGCGTGTCGCGCGAAGCGTACTTGAAGTCCACGTTCTTGTACACAACGTCTCCCTTGCTGCTTTCAGGAAAGATTCCGGTGGATCCGAGCGAATCCATGGCGTCTTCGTGCTCGATGACTTGCAGGAAATACGCTGCGGACATTCTCGCTTTTACGATGTTGATGAGATTCGAGAACATGCTGCCGATTCCAGCAAAGCACTGGAGCAAAGAAATCATCACGACCACAACTTCGCCTCCCACGAGACAAGAATTGCTTCCCTCATCGAACCAGCAGGTATCCACACGATTACAGATCTCTCTGCAAGCATCGGACAATGCTGTGAGGTTCTGGAAGCACACATCCACGGAGTTGTCCATGATAGTGGTACAATTGGAAGCGAATAATTCTGAAGGGAAATCGGAACGTTGATGATTGATGATAAGAACTGCGGAGAGGAACAGCAATCCGTCGGCAAGTTGGGTTGAAAAACCCATTCCTGAATAATGGATTCCAGCTTTTGTAGTGCAAATGCTAGCTCTTCTACAACAATCCTTAACAATTTTCCAATATCGTGTGATAAACTTTTCTTCAGCTCCCAGACTCATAACCGTTTTGATATCGCGGAAAGTCTCTTCGGCAAGAGAATCGGCGTTCTGATGTTCTTTCATCACAACATCTGTGTATTTTCCCATGCTCCTATCAAATTTATAACTAAAGAGAATGATAAAAGGAGAAACAAGTAAAGTCAAGAGAGTGAGCATCCAATCCTATTACTAACTCAAAAAAGATAGACAAAATACGCGAGTCATTCCAATAACAATACCACTAAACAGAGAAGAAAGCGACCGGACAATCAAGCCCAAACCAGGTCCTAAGCCCTCGACAATTCGTGAGGACTCTTCGCTGAACCGTTGTCCCAAACGACCGGGACTGAACCTTTCAATGAATTCAACATCACGTCGAAATAGCGCCAATAAATATTGGTCACGATAATGACGTGTAATGTTTTCTACAGTTCACGGAGAAAAGTCGAACATTACCAGCAAAACAACCCAGACATGCTCTTTCGAAAAAAGCAAATATTGCAGCAACAAGCATCATCAGAATACTTTGGAATAATAATATACGAAGTGAATGATAGTCCACATCTTGGGAATTTAGTTCGTCCAATATGGGTCCATAAAAGATAAACGAAATAGGAGTTAGTATACCAGATACCAGAGCAACTAGAGTTTACATTCAATCTCAACCCATACAAACTAAGCCCAAACATAGATACCATATATCTCTTTTGGTTGCGTACTTAAAGTAGAGAGTTCTAAATGATACTCTCTCTACCTTTAAAGGATCATTGTCAACCTTGACAGCGGATGACTCATGATTCAGGGTTGGTAACTCGATCTGATCTACCTTTGACATTATTATTCTTAAAAAAATTATGAGGAAGAATAGTATACTTCTTGAGAAATTTCCTGGAAATTTCCTTGCAAAAAATAGTGATTCACGCAACAAGTGAATATTAGAAAAAATGGTCGGTAGAAGTGGTTAGCAATTAATGAATGGGGTTCTATATTGAAATATGAAAGTAAACTTCGTAAGAGTTGAGGAAAAAACTTAGTGACGGAAGGTATTTCGAAAAACTTGCACCATAGAATATTTATGGACTTCTAAACTGAAAGAAGTGAGAAATAATAGTAGAGAAGAAGAAATGAGAAGCGCATTCCAAGAATGGTGGTTATGTATGAATAATTTGTTATTTTTGTTAGGTGGTACATTGGATATGATAAGGAGGGGTAATTGTGATTATTGATCATGTGTGACAATTAGAGACACTAATTGGGCATGTTGCACGTACATAAAAAGAATGGTTAAATAAGAAGATGAAAGAACACAATTCAAAATCAAGGTCAATATAGACTGCAGATAGCGCCAAGGCATGCCCTCTTCTATTTATTTCATGCTGGATATATTCAAAAGCAGCATAAAGAATACAAAACTACATAGGAACAGCCATACACCTCTTGATTTGAATCCATAGCACTCTGTACGATATTAATTTAAAAATCATAAAGAAAGAGTGAAGATGTTGTATATTGACAAGCTAGTTTTGCACACTCTATTATTTCAGCCCCTTATAAAGGGAACTTAGTCGTAGGGTAATTCAATATGTGATTACAAAGAGATAGACTGCAGGAACACAAGAATTCAGACTTTTTTTGAATGACATCACATGGTTGGAGAGGCAAAGAAGAATACATTAGACAGTGGTAGTTACTCTCTTCAATATTATCAAGGAGAATATAGAAATGAATATATGTTGAAGGAAGATGAAAAGTTTAAATTGCATAAATAGTGTAATCAAAACAAGTTACGAAAAGCTCACAAGGACGAGGCTCCAGTAAGGCATTTTACCCAATTTGAAACTGGCTGTGTTGCTTTAGTCCAGTCATTGTATGATATTCTAGCAATCACAGCTTTACCTAAATTGCAAATTGTAATAATGATTAGCGCTTGGAGATCTGTTCTGATGAGAGTGGAAAGTTAAAATATCACTGCATATTCAGTACACAGCGAGAGAGAGAGAAGGGCAAGGAATACAGTAAAATGACAAGCGAATAGAATGTTGTGAGAGGAAATATGCAAGGGGAACAAACTAGTGGAAGTCATTTACATTATCATAAAGAGCTTATTGATCAAGTTTATACATCATGGATTTGCACCCTATCCTCCAATTGAATTATTGTGTATGTCGTAGAATTTAGAATTGATGAATCGATAAACGGTATTATCGATATGGTTTAGATTGATGAATTGACTATATAAGTTATGTGGATTGTATATTGAGAAAGTGAGTGGTAGAAATCTATATGATTGATGGTACACTCGCTTTACAGCCAAAAACCAAAACCGAAATCGAAACCCGTGCCTATTGCTGTTCCGAAACGCGAGACATTAACTTCCATTCGCATCAATGTCACTGGAATTACATTATGGGCTGGTATGAGTTTGAAGGCTGAGAATTTGACGATTGCATCGTATTGCCACAGTGATTTGGATGAATTGGATCTGAATCGATTCGAGAGGCAATATTATTGCGAAATCGACGATGATTGCTATGAATCAGTGAAAGCATTCAGAATCGATGGATTGAATCGATTGAAAACTATTAGAATCGGGAAGTCCTCATTTTCATAGTCAAAGAATTGGTGGGAAAATTATGAATCGAAATCATTCCACATATTGAATTGTGAGTTATTGGAATCAATTGAAGAAGAATATTACAATAACCAGGAGAATTGATATTTCTATAATAATTGAATTATGAATTATAATTAAAAAACCGGTTTGAAACAAACAACCAATCAATCGAAATATCCCTAAGCAATGACTACTCACTGAACAACTGAAATCAAATCAAATCAAATCAAATCAAATCAAATCAAAAATAGATTTAATGTTTGATTTTGTTAACAAGATCAGCGAGATAAAAAGAAATATCTATGAATCAAATCAAACCAAATCAATCTAGCAATACTCGAAATTGATTTTGATTCACAATTAAGGAATGAATATGGAAGCAAGATATTTTGAAGGCTTGGAATATCTAGATACTATCAGTATTCAATATAAAGAAATACTTTCCAATGTCACTACACGAGGCCAACGAAAACTAGATGATATAGAATTGATGGATGTTAGATTTGGAAGATCTTCATTCAATCATTTCGAATCATTTCATTCGTACTTTGGATTATCAAGGAACATGATTCATCATCTCTTCCAGAAAATACCTTATCACCGAGTTGTATGGACTGTAATGATGGAAGATCTACATCAATCATTTCATTCTAATTCATTCAATACTTTCGATTATTGTTGACAAAGAAGCACAGAATGCAAAGTCACCTAATGTAATGGATTGTAGATTTGGAAGATCTAATTATTCAAATACTCAATATCATATCAATACCTCGCATCACAAATGAAGTAGAATAGAAATTAAACGAATTACTTCCGATTATCCCAATTTGAATGAATTGTAATTGTGGTAGATTCTTCAATTCAAAGTCTCCAGCATAATCACTGAAACTGTATTCACCAATTTGAATGGATTCCAATGATTCACAATTCAATATAAGGAATGACTTCGATGCATAATTTCCCCAATCATTCTTTTTCTTAATAAATGATCTATTTCCTATTTTGATGGTTTTCAATCGATTCAATCCATCGATTTTGAATGCTTTCACTGCTTTGAAACAATCATTGCCGATTTCAATTATTAAGCATTAGGACGGCCCATTTGCTTATATGATAGCTCAT